CAGAAGGAGAGAGAGAGGGGGGCATGTCTCCCTCTGCCCGCATTAAAGAACCAGCCCGTGAAAGAAATCGCGCATTAGCGCTTCCCCCCCAAAAACAAAGGCCACTCAAAGAAGTCTGCAAACGAGGCTATCTGATTAATATTTACCGAGAATTCTTGCCCTGTGCGCGTGAGAGGTTGCGCAACAAGCAACCATGTTTTTAACTTCACTCAGGTGAAAAATGTGTACCTAGCTTCGGTTGGGGACGTCCCGTTGGATAGGACGTTAGATGGATGTCCCATGTTCACGGGAGAGCCACACCCCACGCACGTTGAAGAACCCACCGCACCTTTTGAAAAATTGTGCGGGCATGCCCCAGTGCGTGATGGTGCAATTTTGGCATCCTATATTCCGGAAATTGGTGATTCACTACCGATCACCCGAACAGAGTCCTGGCCAACTCCTGTCTCGTATTAGCCCCGTGCTAGTTTGGCAGCCTTTCTAAAAATTTTATTCCAACATGTAATCACAAGACGTGGTGACGGCACACTCAAGTTTTTCAACTTATTATATTAATGCCGCCACCAACACAGGACAGTACTCATTTTCACCTGAGTTAAGTCTTGGAAAGTGCCTTTCACAAGATCGGTGGCATGTCAGGACTCGAACCCGGGACCTCTAGGTTCCGAGTCGCGCACTCTGCCACTACGCCACACGACCCCACGACTGTAGCCTTAACTGTATCTTCAGCTAAAATTAATTTTAAAGGCTTCCAATGCGATTTCAGGGCAGCAAAACTGGAAACATTCTGAATAAGGCAATCTTTGTGATATTGACACATACTGTGCCACATTAGCACGTTTGAGTCAGTATTTCATACTTTGGGTTTTTAAAACTGCAGAAACAAGCCCCGAGATGAGTCCTTTATTTTCTGGGTGGTACCTTAAAAATAAGGGCCCTTCCAGTAACTATTTTCCATCAGAATTTTTGCCTTTAGGGCCAATGTACGTTGGGATAGTGTGGTTTCAACTCAGTATGTGGATAAATGGATAGAATATTGGCTTTGAAAAATCGGGTTTCCTAGCCCTAAAAACTGCACTGGATGCCTTTAAAAAAATCCTTGCATGTCGACAAATTTACGAATCTGGATATGGGGGCATTTCGTTTCCGTTTTGTAAGGAAACGATAGCTACATAGCATGTAATACAAAACAGATGTCGACCAGGAAATATTTTGTAGTGAGGCTTCCCAATTGGACCACAGCATGTAAATTTTATGGATGACATCCTCCACAGACCCTAAATCTAATGCGAGGGGGCGAAAAAAACAAGGCGGGCCGAAAAAAACAACAACAAAATTTTGACTCAATCATTGTACAAATGGTTTTGATTCAGTGGAAACATTACATATACACATCCAGCATCACATCTCACTGCATCAAAGGAAGAAACAAAACAATAAATCAGAGCCTTTTCTTGTCTCCTCTCTTCATAGTCTTCTGCCATCCACCCTCCGGCATGACAACAGACATCTTTGTCCATTTTCGGCATGTTGACCACTGTCAGAAGGCAACAAAATGTCTTTTTTTTCCAAACTCAGGCGAAAATTAATGCGCGCGCTGATGTCATCCATAAAAATTACTTGCTGTGGCCTTGGCTGGGAAAAAGTATAGAAATTAGCCAAATGGAGTGAATAGCATGTCAGTAGACAATACTAGCACTAGGAAAAAACGGTCTCCACAAACGCCGTGTATATTCCAATTTTGTCGAGTGAGGCACAAGAGACCATAAAGGTTGCTGAAAGAGGCCGGAAAGGGGTTTAATGGTGCCAATTTCTGAGCAGTGTCGTCAGCTATGTGACAATACATTACAGATAGCTTGTTTATGTTTTCACTTACCTGACAATATAAGTATCATAAGGCCACAGCAAGTAATTTTTATGAATGACATCAGCGCGCGCATTAAAAAACAAGAACTTTTGTTGCCTTCTGACAGTGGTCAACATGCCGAAAATGTGCAAAGATGTATGTTGCCATGCCGTAACATGGATGGCAGATAAATATGAAGAGAGGAGACAAGACAAGGTTCTGATTTAATGTTTTGTCTTTACTTTGATGCAGTGATGTATTTCATTCCTTTTATATGTGATGTTCCCACTGAATCAAAACCATTTGTACAATGATTAAAAACTTTTCTATTCAGTGAGAAATGGATGTTGTAGTAGTTGGCAGTAAACTTAGCATAATACAGGTATCATTTCTTGTTTAACAAGGATCATGATGTCAAAATTTGAAAATGTAGGAATCCCGTAGGTAGCTATTAGGCTCGCCTTGTTTTTTTTTCGCCCTCTCGCATTAGATTTGGCATGGAGTCTGTGAAGGATGTCATCCATAAAATTTACTTGCTGTGGCCTTAGAGGATGTACCGTTCCTTCGTGGCCCTCGCGGGCACAATTTTGCCATTTCTGGAGCGTGGATGACAAAGCTTTTTATTTAAACAAACAGAACATCGACTTGCTTCCTGATGGCAACACTCTCCATTAAGATATTTCCTATGCATACTGAATTCAGGCCTTGGAACTATGAAACGAGTTAAAAGAACAAGTTACACACCTAGGAAGTGACGTTGACAAAAGTACGAGGAAACTCCTCCAAACATGTCATAGAATAGGCTAGAGCAAGTATTTTTTTATGGATGACATAAATTTTCACCTGCTTTTGAAACAAAAAAGAAATTGTTTTGCCCTCTGACAGTGGTCAACATGCCGAACATGGGCATATGTTGTAAATGCCTATCGGTTCAGGGACCATCAGGAATCCAGCAAACTTGAGGCACAATGGTTCGCATTTGATCATAAATGTTTTTTTTTATTAATTTATTAAAGCACATAGAAGAAAGCACAAAACTGCGATGGTTATGCACTAAAAAAAATTCGCGACCTCAAAAATTCCTTAGGACCTTTACCACATTTTATTTTTGGGCCACACATTTTGTAATGTTTATACAACGCATCGCCTGCTGTTTGCATAGTTTATGTAATAAATTCTAGCGAGAATGACACCATACACACACATACAATGCTTTAAATTATGTTCCTTTTGCGTACACCATATAACGTTACATGTATAGGGGTGGCGATTTTTAACTTGTTGCGTGGCTATGGTGTATGTATATCTGGTATGTAGGGTGGGGTTGGGACGGCAAAGGTCAAGGTCGATTATGGGTAATCTAGCGACTTTGTACGGTACCGCAGTGGTCTACATGGTTGTGTTATATCGTTTTGTGGACATGCTAGGATCTTTGAGTAGGACATAGGCCACACCGACTTAATTTTATGGATGACATCCGCGTGTGCATTGATTTTCACCTGTTAAAAAAAGGCCTGGGTAGTCCTTGGTAGTTAGCGACAATACGCGCGTACAGAGTCGGGCACCCAGGCTACCGAAGCTCCACGACTCAAGAACTCAGTACATACGGACAGTGTCAATTCATAAATTCCGCAAAAAGCAAGCATGTGCCGGCTTGTCGTATACGTCGCTATGTACTGCCGCAAATTCACAATATCAGCTTTGTATTCCTGTGGTTTAGTAGCATTTTTATTTTTGGCCGGAATCTTTTCCGCGCACTAGTTTGGGGGTCTTCAGAGGATGTCATCCATAAAAATAAGTCAGTGTGGCCTTATTGTGAGTGACTGAAAGAAACAGTGATGTCAGCAATCATCTACTTACCAAGCAGATGTTTAGGCCTCTAATTTTTGACGTGTTTTAGGCGTACGTTTTATCAGGCTTTCTTTTCTGTATTGGCATCGATCGTTTTTTTTTACGCCAGCTAGGCAAATACTGCCCTGTCAATTTGAACCTGTCTTGCAGCCACCTGCCTTTAGCCATCTGCTTGTAGATTAGCAAACACCTAACCCTCCAAATTCTGTCCAGTCTGTCTAAATTTATAACCTATTGTTTAACGCCACAACAAAAGCCGGTGTTTACTGAGTGAGTGTTGTGTAAGATTAAAGGTCGCGTTACAAAACGAAGTGTCCAGTAGACTGATTTACCATTATGTACCCTTCTAAGCGACATGTTATGTAAGCAAACTGTGGCTAGTACAACACGTCACGGTATTAAATATGACTGTAAGAATCAATATATTACATGTTTTTAAGGCTCTGAGCTGTCTAAGTTGCCTTCACGTTGGTTAAAGATGATGTGTTTTCGTCTGATGTGAAAAAAGGCAAATTGGCGGATTTTAATTAAGCCTTCACAAAGTCACAAACATTTGTCTTGCGAAAACACAAGAGACCAGACGAAAACAAGTTTTTAACGCCTGAGATTTTTTACCTCCGGGGGAGGAGACATCCTTCCACGGAAGGGTTTTGTGAGAGATTTAGATTTTCATGTTCGCAGCTGTTTCTCGGGTTTGGGTGGACGGATTTTTTTGGGACTTGGTGTATGTTTTGCTATTGGGCTGTAGATGATGCACGTTCTTTTGTTTTTATTGTATATGTGTTTTAGGGCGTGAAAATGGTGCCTTTTGGTGGCCACAGAACACCCCTTTGAGCATGAAAATGGTCGCGACCGTTGACCTTTGGCGTGTATAAAATATTCTCGGTCTGGTCCACGTATATGACCCCTCGTACAGAGGGGTGTCTGGTCACGATAAATTCTTTGTTTAAAACCCTAGTCCTGCGGCGAACAACAATTGTTGTAAGCAACATATAAAAATATACAATAAAAAGCCCGGAGGTATAAAATCTCAGATTTTACTTGTTTGACGTTACATCCGTTACATACATTTGAAGAAGTTATTGGAAACTGGAAAGGGTGTATGATTGGTTACATAGATTTGATGACATAGATTTGATGACATAGCATAACCGTAACTATCTGTATCAGTATAGCCGGTATAACCGCCATTCGGCGTATAACACACCAGCTTTGCAGGCACGCGGCGCGGCGGCAGCTAGCTATATCACACCTTAAGACTTGTTACACTCAATCTTTACACATTTAATTGCAGGAATTGTTTGAAGCTTTCTACAGTCTGTATCTTTCACCTGGTGCGGAGGCAAATAAAGCCTGATGATCTGTGATTAAATGTGCACACAAGGCAGTACTTCTTTGCAAATAGCAACGCCAATAAACTAATAAAATAAAGCAAGCGAAGTGCGCCATTGTTTTAACAAAAGTTTACTACGATTCATCGCGTTCAATTTTCTCATAGCATCAGCCAAATTTACAAACGATAAAGCGGCCTAGCGCCTGTAGAAAAACGAAGCCTGAGAGGCAAAAGGAAAGATACCCCAGCTTTGTGTTCGACTAGTCTAATTTATTTTTTCTTTTCGCAAAACGATATACTAAGGCCATGTTGATTTGATTATATGGATGGCATCCTCTGGGAACCCCAAGACTGATGCGAGCGTGAAAATAAAAAAAAGTTTGGCCCCCCAAAAAGTTGCTTTCATATGAAATCTAAGTGGTTTTGAAGGTTGAACAAATGACACAGAAAATGGTTTGGCGAATAATCTAATCTTCAAATTCACTTCTTTACATGTTCGTCTTTTTCGTTTGATTTTGGCTCTGGTATCGTTTTCAATTTTTTTTTCAACTTACGGTATATATTTGCTAATTTTGCAACTGTTTTGTGCAATTAACAGTATGGTTTTTTTGAAACGGCTGAAAATTCATGCACGCGTGGATGTCATCCATATAATCAAATAAACATGGCCTAACTTGGAAAAATAATAGCCTATGTTACGTATTCAGAACCGTTCTTGGTGCAAATCGAAGTTCTTGGATACGCGGTGGCTATCTAGGTCACTCAGATCATACATGTAACTCTAACGCATTCACTGCAGTACAGAACAAGATGGTCACGGTTCTGGACACGATAGAAACCTAACACTAGTTCTTTTTCTAATCTACACACAGCTGTCGCTCAGAACGCATGTCCTGACGGATGGCTAACCTATCAGCAGTCCTGTTACAAAGTTTTCAACGACCCAAAAGACTGGAACGAGGCGAGAACAGCCTGCAACGCCTACACAGCGGACCTCGCGGTTCTCACCACTGCAGGGGAACAGGTGGGATAAAAGCGACACATAGCATTTTAGGAACGCAAGACACCGCATACGATGGTGTGACAAGTTCGCAAGAAGTTTGAACGAATCGCGTCACACTATACAATCTTACAACGGTACTTTTGTGAGTGTGCGTCTGCATGTACTGATCCAAGTAATGAGATACATTGTATGTATCATTTCCAATATTAGTATGAATACGAATACAAACGATATTGAAACGTGTACACTATGCTATCATATTGTACACACATCAAAATATACATTTGTACTGTATTCCATCAGATAAATGCCATGGGATGTAACTGTTATTTCACATGAATTTTTACTGTATTTTGTGTTATTTTTGGTGTATTCACGAGGGTTATTTTTCCCGTGTATGCAAATCGCCTAAACAATTGAACACCCCTCCTGTAAAGTGGCACCGTCCGTCAGTTACGTCACTCTAGAGATACGAAGGAGTTGCAAACTTTTCGCCTCTCCTTTTTCTCCACCCAAGTTGGGGAAAAATTGCCTTGTTGACTTTTTAAAAGATAACCGCGAGCACCCAGTGCACCTACCTCTTGTTCTCTATAAACATTTGAACTTTTCCATCTACCTCTGCAGCAATGGATGTCCCAACAGTTACCCAACGACGGAGGCCAGTACTGGATCGGTCTGCACGACATTCTGGGAGAGACATCCTTCCAGTGGGCCGACGGCACACCCCTCAACATAGGAGTCACGTAAGACAGCAGAAATCTGACATTTCGCTTCTTTAACACAGTAGATAGGCAGAAATGTGGACTGAAAGATAGTGTACATTGTTACTGTAATGAAGTGGGCCAAAGGTCAGCTTTTGGACTATTCCATTCTACTCTAGGGAGGAGGTTTTGTGTTTTTTATTATTTTATACAGGGTTGAAAATACCGGCAGCAAATATAGAAAGAGTATGCTGAAACTCTTTTTACTTCTGTAGCTTTCTCAATTTTTATGTTTAGCGAAGAAAAACATTGTTTTTGCTCAGTTTCTTCCTCTTCTTCCAAACAAATAAGGTCAATGACCTGAACCAGATGTCTGTCACCATGGTAACTGGTGTTGGGTTACATCATGTTGCAATTTTATAGCAGCAGGGATTTGGACTCCTGTCATCATATATAATTTTATGTATTTGAGTACTAGTTAGATTAACAGAACAGACCATATGCGAAGGTAAACATTATGCATTAAGTTGCTTTGCAAATGTTACCTTTCTAGTTTTATGCATATTTCCTTACGATTCTTACAGAAGTTTCTTATACATGTAATGTGTGAAGTATGAATATTCGTTTTCATGATATGTGTTTTTAATATGTTTTGCGTAGTATGTGGAATACTGGTGAGCCCAACAATGCCCACTCTACTGGGGAGGACTGTGTGGAAATGTTTGTACAGTCCAATGTTGGCAAGTGGAACGATCTAGCATGCACAACTGCCAAGCCATACGTCTGCGAGCGATTTTCAGGTGGGCAGAGTTTCTTACAATATAAGTTACATTGCTCTTGAGCCTTTGCTTCCATAACATTGAAATTAATAACAGCAAAAAGTTTGAAAATATGATGTGACATATGTCAATTCATTTCTCCATCCATCCATCCATCCATCCATCCATCCATCCATTCATTCATTTTCATATATTCATTCCATCCTTCATTCATTCATTCTCCATTCAATTAATACTCAAAATAAACCACCTAACAGACATCTGGAGTCTGGACTATGCTGGCATTCATACACTTTGCACTAATAAGATTGTTGAAAATAGCATGTACATATCCTTCCTTCTTTCCTACCTTCCTTCATTCTTTCCTCCCCTCCTTTCCTTCCTTCTTTTCATCCATCCATTTATCCTTTTATCCATTTATCCATTTATCCATTTATCCATTTATCCATCCATCCATCCATCCATCCATCCATCCATCCATCCATCCATCCATCCATCCATCCATCCATCCATCCATCCATCCATCCATCCATCCATCCATCCATCCATCCATTGCTTATTGGTTCATACCCCTTATTACAAAGACAAAGAGGACAGGCCAATAACTAGCGGAGAAGGACATTCAAGCTGTTTTAGGACCTTGTAGTTGTAGAAAAGAGTTGCAGATGATAGGAAGGGGTGGTGGTTAGCAAGAAAAAAAGACGGTATGGAGGACAATTGCAGCGTGCCTTGATGTTGTACATTGACATGCAGCAATGATGATGACGACAGCTGTGTGTCATCACCTGTTGCCAAGGAGAAACACAGCACAGACTGGGAGAGGGTAAAAGTGCTGGATCAAGATTCCAATTGGTTTGCAAGGGGCATTCAGGAGGTGATCCAGATCCACAGACCACGCAGTACCTTGAATAGGGACAGGGGGCGTCACTACCAAAAGCTTGCATATGACTGTCTCTTGTCTGGTGATAATCAACATGAAGTCACGTGAAAGAGAACTCCAAGACGAGATCTTACTTAAGTTGACGAAGAGACAGAGTGTGTCTTGAAAGCTTCCCAGAGTAGCTAATTTTTGTTATATATGTGTATCGTTTTTCAAAATATTTGTCAAAAAATGATGATGTTGTTCCCCCTCACAGGGCTAGTTGATGCCTGTGACACAGCCAATGGCTGATGATGATGAAGATGATGATGATGATAATGATGATGATGTTGATGATGATGATGTTGATGATGATGATGTTCCCCTTACAGGGCTAGTTGATGCCTGTGACACAGCCAATGGCTGATGATGATTATGTTGACGATGATGATGTTGATGATGATGATGATGATGATGTTGATAATGATGATGATGATGTTGATGATGATGTTGATGATGATGATGATGTTGATGTTGATGATGATGTTGATGATGATGTTGATGATGATGATGGTGATGATGATGATGGTGATGATGGTGATGATGTTCCCCCTTACAGGGCTAGTTGATGCCTGTGACACAGCCAATGGCTGGGAGCTGTACAACGAGCGCTGCTACAAGTTCAGCGGCAGTCAGAAGGAGACCTGGCTGGATGCCCAGCAGATCTGCCGCTCCTACGGCGGCGATCTGGTCAGCATTCTGGATGACACAGAAAACAACTACGTCATGTCCAAAGCAGTGAGCGTACAGGAACCTATATACATCGGTCTCTCAGATACGGTAAGTGTTTGTTAGCCTCTATCAGGCTTCATCATGTCTAAAGCACTGACTGTACAGGAACCTACATCAGTCTCTCAGATACGGTAAGTGTTTGTTAGCCTCTACATCTCCATAAGTGGCTCTCATGAGCCTTGTGAACTAGGCCACACCAATTTAATTTCTGGGTTAACGGATTTTTCTAAATAATGGAGTGGGTGGGCGAAAAAAATAAAAATAAAAACAGGCCTAGGCATCCTATTATGGCCCAAAATGGTACGATAGGAGCCATGAAGTCAACACACCAGGCTGGTTCAAAATTTAAACAATGAATTTTGAACTTATAATGATACCACTGCATTGAAAGATGGAATAACTGTAACAACTAGGAAGAAAAGGACTGTTTTCAACTGTTCAGGGCAAAATACGAGCATTTTGCAGTTGATTCTGAATTTTTTTTTTTTTTGCAAATCAGAAAAAAATGAAGCGGGCAAATCCATTAACCAAGAAATTAAATTGGTGTGGCCTTAGCCTATAGATCCAGTGGTTTCAGAAAGGTCTTTGAGATTCGAAAAATCTACTACGAAATTGAAGTTCAGTGTTCAGTCTCTTTGCCTAGATATAGAACAAGGTATTACATAAAAAGTCTCCAACACCATTTAGTGTTTCAATGTTTCACAGCTGGTGCATGCCTGCGAACCGGATGAATTTTAATAGACCTGAAAAATAGAGAAAAGAAACACCCTACATTTTACAATCAGTATTATACTGTGGTAGCAATATAGCAGCATGGTGTGAGGCCATTTTTGAACAGTCTGAAGTTCAACCCTGTCTAATATTTTCAATCTGCAAAGTTGCATGTTCAGAATATTTTTACATCCAAATCTTGAAAATCACATGCAAGTTGAAAGTTGCATGTGGATATTTTGAGCCCTGCTGTGAGAGATACGCTGTGATGGCATAACAGAGTTAACGGTATTCCAGGTTTTTTTGTATATTCCCTGTTTGTAGTATGTGTTAGAATGGACCACAGGAAGAATAGCTACGTAACAGTCTTGTATGCTAAATGTGGATCCGAATAAAGTCAAAGTCAAAGAAATAACCAGTCCTGATCTGTTCTGTCCACACAGGCGTCTCCTAACCAGGTCCAGTGGAGTGGAGGAGGTCCGCCTGCCAGCTACACTAACTGGGCTGACAACGTCATTGGCTCAGACGGAAAGTAAGCATTATTCAACATTTCATCGAAACATAGTAACAACAAATACCTGGGCTGACTCCGTTATTTACTTGTATAATAGTCTGTTGCTACCACTAAAAGCAGAAGAATCCATACATGATAAAGTTAAATAAATAATAATTAAGGTGTTTTTTACAAAATGTATTTCAAAACAGAAAGAAAGAGAGAGAAAGAGAGAAAAAAGAAAGAAAGAAAGAGAAAGGAAAGAAAGAAGAAAGAAAAAAGAAGAAAGAAAGAAAGAAAGAAAGAAAGAAAGAAAGAAAGAAAGAAAGAAAGAAAGAAAGAAAGAAAGAAAGAAAAAGAAAGAAAGGTTTTCTGACCATTTCTGTCAAACTTACATGTAACAATCATGTCAATATTTACAGCTTCATTGTATCTATTCACAGTTTTGTCTAATCTTTTTTTTGCCAAAATTAGATGGACCATATGTGTATAATTAGCAAGTTGATGTTCAAACAAGTGCATGACTGACACATTTCTTCCTGTTCTGTTCAGCTGGGACTTCCCCGGAGCCGTGTGCACTCAGCTGTTTGCCAGTGGAGGAAAGTGGTGGCCTGTCCGCTGTAGGAATGAGAGGGCTTTCTTGTGTGAAAGGGGGAAGCAACGTAAGTTCAGAAAAATAAATACTGTAACAGTCTAAATTACATTACATTATTGCTCTCACTCAATCACTGGCTCTCTAATGCTCTCACTCACTCACTCACTCACTCACTCACTCACTTGCTCCCTTGCTATCACTCACTCACCTACTTACTCACTCACTCACACTCATTTACTCACTCACTCACTCACTCACTCACTCACTCACTCACCTACTCACACACTCGCTTGCTCTCACTTACTCACCTACTTACTCACACACTCACTCATTTACTCAATCACCTACTCACTCACACTCACACACTCACACACTCGCTCTCACTCACCTACTTACGTACTCACTCACTGGCTCACTGACTGACTCACTAACTGACTCACTCACTCACTCACTCACTCACTCACTCACTCTTGTATGTTGAAACACCATATAATCAGCTGGAAATACACATAAATGACAATACATAAATCATCATACACAAACTATACAATATAGATGTAGGACTGATGTACAAATGTATAATTATGTGGATTTTTATTTGCTGCATTGACTGTTATAACCTACATGTATAAAGCATAATTTTTCAAGAAATAATCATGGTGATAGTTTTTGAAACAGTTTTTAGTGTGATACGTTAACTTCTGAATGGTGCAGGTAAAATTTGCTGGACAGGTGCAGGCAACCTTCAATGTTTCCAGCACCAGTGGAGGTACATGTATGTAGAAAAAAAGTATTTCAAGCCCTAAAAACTTCCCTGTACACTAGGGTCCTGTCCTGCTGGGTGGCGTAACAACAACGGCTACTGCTACCAGTTCAACATCAACCCCAAAATGACCTGGCCGGACGCCCGCCACTACTGCGAGAGTCACGGTGCAATTCTGTTAACCATTCACAGGTATGTAACAGTCCGTAAGGCCACACCAATTTAATTTGTTGTTTCTCGGATTTTTCCAGATAAAATATGAAGCGACAGGCCGAAAAAAAACAGGCCAAGGCACCCCATGATAGCTGGAAATGTTACGATATGAGCCATGAAGTGAACATACCAGGCTGGTTTATAATTAAAACAATAGATTTTGAAACAAAGTTGCATTGTTACATTGAAAAACTTTAAGGACTAGACAGAAGAATACTTTCTTCAACCGTTGGGGCCTAATTAAATATGTCTTTCATTGAGCATTTTGCAGTTAATTTAGAACCCCCCACATTTTTTTTTTTGCAAATCAGAAAAAAATGGACAAGGTGCTCCGAGAAGCAGCAAATTAAATTGGTGTGGCCTAAACTCTCTATCTCATATTTTAAGGCATCCAGTGGGCCATGCATTTTCAGTTTTTTTATCATTCTGTTCATGTAGTAAGGTGAATCAACCCTATTCAATAGCATACTGACGTCTGTGAGGCAAATACTGTAATTCACCTTAACTTCGCATTAGCTAAAAGTTTGCAGTCTGAGAAAAATGGACATGTTCACGGAACTATATATTTGTGGTAGTGGCAGGCAAAGTCGGCAAATTATTTGAATGTTCACGGTAATTTGTAATAAGTTCTAGTACAGAAGTGACAGCGAAAACTGTGACCATAAAAGTACAGCAAAAAACATCAGGAATTACAGTGTATGTGATATAGATTTCTTCATTTGTATGATATGGCCATATCAGCCATTTTAATGTTGTTGTTTTTTTGTTTCAGCCAAGATGAGCAGAACTTTGTTCAGACGATGTTCCCTACTCTGTTGGCTGGTGGAGTGCGGGACTTGTGGCTGGGAATTTCTGGTAAAACTACATCTCTCATACATGATTGTGTACATGACTGAGGACCCAAACATATTCGTCTTACATAGCATCATAGGATCACAAACTGAGAATTTCATGGGATAGCCATATGGTTCCAACATAGACATCTAATAGTATTTTTGGCTTCCTCTCACTTCTTGGTAAGGCGACACCAGTTTAATTTGTTGGTTCTCAGATTCCCCTTTTAATTTTTCTCTGATTTGCAAAAAAAAAAAAAGATTCTGGTTTTGAATCAGCTCAAAAATGCTTATATTTTGCCCCCAACCATTAAGGAAAGTACTTTAATTTCTTCCTAGTTGTTATAGTTTTTCCATCTATCAATGCAGTGGCTTAATTAAAAGTTCAAAATTCATTGTTGAAATATTAACCCAGCCTTTTGTGTTGACTTCAATCATGGCTCCTATCGTTGCATTTGGGGTTATCATAGGATGCCTAGACCTGTTTGTTAATTTTTTTTTTTGCCCTGTCGCTTCATATTTTTTTCTGGAAAAATCCGAGAACCAACAAATTAAATTGGTGTGGCCTAATGGTAGAAATGTAGGAGGGTGTAATGTTTGACTTTCCATTTCCACTGCCTTTGGAACCATGATTCCTGACCTTTGCATGTCCGTAAGGCCTAGGATTAGGAAAAAAATGTTTCCTGACTTTTGTGATCTCTAGTGATCCAACTGTTTAACCCTAAACAGTACACCTGGGGTCCCCGCGGACCCCAGCACTATATATTCTGTAATATCTTTTTTGTTTCTAAAGATTTTTTTCTGAAATTTTAGGTAATTGTCACCCACAAAGTTGTCTCTCAATACAGTACAGAAAACTCCGTTTCTACCATTTATAAAAAAATTATATCTGATTTTCTTTTGGGGTCCGCGCGGACCCCCAGCCGGCTTTCGATCATAATGGATACACTGGCGTTCTTATACATTACCTTATTTCCGTTTTTATATGTTTTTATGCACTCATCGTATGACTACCAAGTTTTCAGAGAATGGTGTAGTAATAGAATTAAATTTTAATAACTTTGGTGTACTTATGACGTCTTATGACGTCAGAGCTAATAATATTGTCCGCCATATTGGATTTTGACCAATGACGTCATCAAATTAGCATATTCTATGCATATTAAATGATTTAACTTATATTTAATTATGTAAGATGTTACTAATGTTGGAAAAGAAGTGTAATTTAATATAAAACTCAGAAAATTTTTATGTTTAAGCCAAAAATTACTTCTTTTTTAAAAAAAACTGCCTGCTAGAAACCCGTTGCCATGGCAACACAAAAAAATCAACTTACTAGTATTGAACTAATCTGAAGTTTTTTCCAGAGACATTTTAGGCAAGGTCTCCAAATTTGATACTTCTAGCGCAAGCCGTTTAGCCGCTATCTGAGATCAAAGTTGGGCCTCAAAAGCCCCATCAGTATGAAATGGGTTTAAAAATCGGGTATTTCTTCTTGTCTTCTTTTCTTCACCAAAAAATAGAAAAAGTTCAAAATGTATGATTTTTGTATGTAATGTGGACACAGAGGTTCCCACATCAGTTTGCAAAACAATTGAGCTGGTAGCATGTTGATAATTTCTAAAAATTAGCAAAAAACTGTTCTGGGGTCCGCGCGGACCCCAGGTGTACAGATTAATCAGTCCGGGAAGGTGTTCTGTTGAGGGTTAACCAAGTAAAACTTGCATGAGAACACTTATATTTTCAATGTCAATCTTGGAAAACTGTTCAATGTCTTATCACTGAGGTGTCAGATTGATCATGGAGCAAGAAAAGGTCAATCAGCTTGAAAAATTCATGTCCCTTGCAGGGATTAAAAAAAAGGCTAGGGTTGGCAGGTTTTTCTAGGGTCTGTCGGGAAATAGGAAACACAACATTTTTTTCCCAGTAGGCCTAAAATGTTCTTTCTTCACCTACACATAGATGTGGCAGATGATGGGTACTTTGATTGGGTAGATGGCAGCAATGAGACATATTCCAACTGGTTCCCTAACAACCCAGCCGACACTACAGGCAGCTGGGACTGCAGCAGGCTATATACTGGTGAGTTTCTCACATTATCTTTTAAAGGCATCCAGTGCGATTTTAGAGCAACAAAACTGAAAATATTCTAAGTAAGGCTATGTTATGTTGACACATACTGCTTGACATAAGCACAGTTCAATCAGTAAGTCATACTTTGGATATTTAAAACTGCAGAAACCAGCCCCAGTCTCCATTTTCTGTCAGACTTTTGGGTTATATTATAACTTTTGCTCCATGAGGGTCAATATACATTGGGATAGTGTGGTTTCAACTCAGTATGAAGATAAGTGACTAGATAGAACATTGACTTAGAAAAATCTGGTTTCCAAGACCTAAAAACTGCATTTAGATTGCCTTTAGATTTTTTTATCTTTTGGTTTTTGTGTTCAGATTGTAGACAAAATGTAACACCAAATCCACATCAAAGTTACCACACTCTATTAATAATTAGCTGAAAGGTCAATCTGGTATGCATCACCCAACCATACAGTGAGGGAAGGAGGGAGGTATTATATGAAGATAGGAACTTTCTGTTTTGTCCTGTCCTTGGTGCTGAATTCCGAGTTCCCTGCATCTGAGTGTTAGAACTTGGTAGCACTGTATTGCACAAGTTGAGTTCTGTCTATTTCAAAAGTCCCTGGCTGTGTACTGTCCTTTTGTCTAAATCTTTATGTTTACCGAAGGAAAACACATTGTTTTTGCTCCGTTTCTTCCTCTTCTTCCTCTCCAAACAGTGACCTATGACCTGACCTATGACATGATTTGTTGACGTCTGTCACCATGATGACTGGTGTTGGGTTACATAATGTTGTAATTTCATGGTCTGCTCTGCTCCTGTCACCATATACTAGTAGTACAATGTATTTGAATGTGTTTGAGTAAGAATTAACATAGCAGACCATGTCCGAAGGTAAACATTATGCATTTGCTTTGCAAATGTTACTTCATCTCTAGTTCTGAATAGTTCTAAAATGTACAAGAATCAAATTCCCTAATCCTGCATGTTGCAATATAAGGCCACACCAATTTGATTTCTTGGTTAGTGGATTTTTGAAGAAAAATAATGGAGCGGGCAGGCGAAAAAAAAATAAAAATAAAAACAGGCCTAGGCATCGTATTATGGCCCAAAATGGTACAATAGGAGCCATGAAGTCAACATACCAGGCTGGTTCAAAATTTAAACAATGAATTTTGAACTTTTAATGATACCACTGCATTGAAAGATGGAATAACTGTAACAAATAGGAAGAAAAGGACTGTTTTCAACTGTTCAGGGCAAATTATGAGCATTTTGCAGCTGATTCTGAATTTTCATTTTTATTTGCAAATCAGAAAAAAATGAAGCGGGCGAATCCATTAACCAAGAAATTAAATTGGTGTGGCCTAACTGTGTTTTACAGATAATAGGAGTGTTGTGTGTACTTGAGTAATTTAGTGCACTAACTGTAGACAGGAAAATTGGACTTGTAAAGGTTTGAAGTTATATTTTCATTGCTGTTTATAATGTATATAGGATCTGACCAGGGACAGTGGGAGACTGCCAGTTGTTTCAACCTGCACGGCTTTGTCTGTAAAATCCCTGATGGTGAAACAGTCCTCTCTGGCAGTGAGTACAACTGTATTATGCAGTATGCATTCTACAGCAATCTTTGTATGAACTATTCTAATATTAAATCAATCACACTTAGCTATATCAGGAGAATGCTTGGAAAGTATGTAGAAATCTGCAGTATGCATTGTACAGCAATCTTTGTATGAACTAATATTCAATCAATCATACTTACTAATAGCTATATCAGGAGAATGCTTGGAAAGTATGTAAAAATCTGTATAAATTTTTATTTTATTTTTGTACTTTGACAAAGTGTTGTTCTACAACTGCATATCATCATTTCTTTATGATCACATGAAAATTACTCATTGCTTTGTATAATCTATGTAAAGAAATATAGCACTGAGATCATGACTGTGCTTTGTAAATGCCTTTTTACATGCTTTGTAATACTGTGTGTTGTTCAGTTACCAGGACCAGCCTTTTGTAATAGCCTCCTGCTAGTTGAGTAACCCTGGCTACACATGCAGCCAAACAAATAAACAAACAAATTGAATCAAAATCAACCCTTCTTCTGTTTCAAATTCAGCATGGTTGAATTTTCAAAAGGAAAACTCTGATTGATCTAAAAAAAAATCTGCCAGGAACAGCAAATTCATTTGATTAGTGCCTTTTGAAAAAAATTATGCACTATGATTTTTTTTAAAAAGAACATCCAGATCAACTAAAAGTTGAAAATAAAAATAATAAAATTGAAATAAAACTGGACAAAGCCTGACTCAACTCTCAAATTCTTAGAAAGAAACAGCAACTTACTTTGATTTTTGCGTTAAAACCAATAATCATGTTTTTTTTTATCAAGTCACATCAAAATGAAATAAACGTTTAAAAATTGAAAACTGAAACTTTATTGCCTTAAAAACAATATTCATGATTTTTTTATCAAGTCACATCAAAATGAAGTAAATGCTTAAAAATTGGAAACTGAAACTTATTGCCTTAAAAACAATATTCATGATTTTTTATCAAGTCACATGAAAATAAAGTAGATGCTTAAAAATTGGAAACTGAAACTTTATTGCCTTTAAAACAATATTCATGATTTTTAATCAAGTCACATAAAAATGAAATAAATGCTTGAAAATTGAAAACTGAAACTTTATTGCCTTAAAAACAATATTCATGATTTTTTTATCAAGTCACATGAAAATAAAGTAAATGCTTAAAAATTGGAAACTGAAACTTCTTTGCCTTCAAAACAATATTCATGATTTTTTTATCAAGTCACATCAAAATGAAATAAATGCTTAAAAATTGAAAATTAAAACTTATTGTCTTAAAAACAATATTCTTGATTTTTTTTATCAAGTCACATGAAAATGAAGTAAATGCTTAAAAATTGGAAACTAAAACTTATTGCCTTAAAAACATTATTAAAGATTTTTTATTAAGTCACATCAAAATGAAATAAATGCTTAAAAATTGGAAACTGAAACTTAATTGCCTTAAAAACAATATTCATGATTTTTTATCAAGTCACATCAAAATGAAGTAAATACTGGAAAATCAAAAACTGAAACTTTATTGGCTTCAAAACAATATTCATGATTTTTTATCAAGACACTTTAAAATGAAGTACTGAATACTGGAAAATTTGAAACTGAAACTTTAACAGAAGTACCGTTTCTGTCCTTGGCAACAGGCTGTTTTGAGCCAATGGGAATGGAATCCGGTTTCATACCGGACGAAGCTATCACAGCGTCTTCAGAATATGACGCAAATCATGGCGCTAGGAGAGCAAGGCTCAACATACAAAATGGTGTCGGAGGTGGCATTGGATCCTGGGCGGCTCGACCAAACGACCAAAATCAGTGGCTACAGGTCTGTCATATAAAGTCACACTTTCTCCCTTTCTTAATATAGGTTGTTATCAGCCGATGGGAATGGAATCGGGGTACATACCGAATGAAAAAATCACTGCATCGTCCGAGTTTCTCCCGACGCTTGCTGCTTGGAATGGCAGGCTGAACACACAGGATGGCGTAGGGGGTGGCCTAGGGTCCTGGGCTGCTTATTCAAATGACCAAGACCAATGGTTACAGGTGCCCATCAAAGAAACACTTAGTAGTGTGTAGTAGTAGACTAGTGCTTGTGTGTAGTAGTAGTAGTAGACTAGTAGTAGAAGTAGTAGAAGTATTAGTGTAGACTAAGTTTATGTGTGTAGAAGTAGTGTAGTAGTATAGACTGGTGCTTGTGCATGTGTGGTAATAGTGTAGACTGCTGTGTGCAGTAGTAATGTAGACTGCTGCTTGTGTGTAGCAGTTGTGTAGACTGCTTGTTTGTAGAAGTAGTAGTAGTGTAGACTACTGTATTGCAGATTCGTCTTGTGTGTAGTAGTAGCGTAGATTGCTTGTGTATAGTAGTAGCGTAGACTTCTTGTGGGTAGTAGTTGTGTTATACTCTTGTAGTTACGGTAGTAGTAAGTGTAGACTGCTGCTTGTGTGTGGTAGTAGTGTAGACTACTGCTAGTGTGCAGTAGTAGTGTAGTGCCCCTTGTGTGTTGTAGTAGTGTAGACTGCTGCTTGTGTGTGGTAGTACAAGTAGTGTAGACTGCTGCTTGTGTGTGGTAGTAGTGTAGACTGTTGCTTGTGTGTGGTAGTACAAGTAGTGTAGACTGCTGCTTGTGTGTGGTAGTAGTAGTGTAGACTCCTTGTGTGTTGTAGTAAAGTGTAGACTGCTGCTTGTGTGTGGTAGTACAAGTAGTGTAGACTGCTGCTTGTGTGTGGTAGTAGTGTAGACTCCTTGTGTGTTGTAGTAGTGTAGACTGCTGCTTGTGTGTGGTAGTACATGTAGTGTAGACTGCTGCTTGTGTGTAGTAGTACATGTAGTGTAGACTGCTGCTTGTGTGTAGTAGTAGTGTAGACCGCTTCTTGTGTGTAGTAATAGTGTAGACTGCTGCTTGTGTGTGGTAGTAGTAGTGTAGACTGCTACTTGTGTGTGATAGCACATGTAGTGTAGACTGCTGCTTGTGTGTAGTAGTAGTGTGGACTGATGCTTGTGTGTATGTAGTAGTGTAGACTGCGACTTGTGTGTAGTAGTAGTGTAGACTGCTGCTTGTGTGTAGTAGTAGTGTAGACTGCTGCTTGTGTGTAGTAGTAGTGTAGACTGCTGCTTATGTGTAGTAGTAGTGTAGACTGCTGCTTGTGTGTGGTAGTAGTGTAGACTGCTGCTTCTGTGTGGTAGTAGTGTAGACTACTGCTTGTGTGTTGTAGTCTTGTAGACTACTGCTTGTGTGCAGTAGTAGTGTACTCCTGCTTGTGTGTTGTAGTGATGTAGACTACAGCTTGTTTGTAGTAGTAGTGTAGACTGCTGCTTGTGTGTGGTAGTAGACTACAGGGTATGAGAGTTAAACAGTCACACACCACTACCAGTGGACTAGCCCCTTGTTGTTGTGATTGCACATTCAACTGTGTTCCCCAAGGGCTACAGAAATGGCACCGACCATAGGTGAGAGGATGAATATTATCAATTAGAAAGAAAAAGGGGAGTACTGTAACAGTTAGGTTTCAAATGCTACCAACTGACTTGTCTGATGGGTCCCGACATCTTCGTCTAGTAGTTAGGGTGTTGGCTTCACAAGCTGGCGGCCTGGGTTTGATTTCCAGGCTAGGGTTATCTTTCTAAGCCCGCCTTACGTGTGCTTCTAATAATAGTGTGTACTTAAGATTCGAGAACAAACATTAGAAAGAAAAGGGGTAGTCTAACACTAGTAACAGTGAGGTTTCAAGTGCTACCTTTTGGCCTAGTGGTTAGGGTGTTGGCTTCACAAGCTGGCGGCTCAGGTTTGATTCCCAGGTTACGCTAGGGTTCTCTTTCTAAGCCCCCCTCATGTGTGTTTCTAATAATAGTGTGATTCAGATTTGAGAACAAACATTAGAAAGAAAAGGGTCTAACAGTGAGGTTTCAATTGCTACCTTTTGGCCTAGCGGTTAGGGGGTTGGCTTCACAAGCTGGCGGCTCAGGTTTGATTCCCAGGCTAGGGTTCTCTTTCTAAGCCCCCCTCGTGTGTTTCTAATAATAGTGTGATTCAGATTCGAGTACGAATATTATGGAAAGAAAAGGGGCGTAGGGTGTAACGGTGAGGTTTCAAGTGCTACCAACTGACTTGTCTGATGGGTCAAGACCTTTGATCAAACTTTTGTTTAACTTTTGATCCAACACAACAAAGTTCTCTCACCTAGAGCTTTTGACCAGTCACACTGGTCTTCGTCAGTAGACTGACCCAGTGAGATTTGTCATGTGGCTTCTTTGAAGTGTGATGTCAACACTGGGGCAAAGTGACTTGTAAAATTAATAACTTTTTTAACTTGCAGCTATTTTTAATTATGCTTGACAGGTGGACCTGGGTAGGGTGAGCACCATCAGTGGTGTGATCACCCAGGGTAGGAACGGTTACACAGGACAGGGTGGTGGTCAGTGGGTCACCTCATTCAAACTGCGCCTCAGCACTGATGGCAACACTTGGACTACAGTCATGGATGTCGCTTCTGGTACCAGTCAGGACAAGGTAACTCATCTGCAACTGTAGATCTGTAACATCCATGTCCATAATATCACCAGGGTCCATAATATTTCCACCTTGAGAAAAAGTGTGCTTAAAGATATTTTTACTGCAACATACTTTTGGTATCCTGCACACCTCAAATGTACATACCTAGGGTATGTTGCAGTAAAAATATCTTTAAGCACACTTTTTCTCAAGGTGGCAATATTATGGACCCTGGTGATATTTTGGACACGGATGTTAATATCATTCTGTATAGTGCTGTGTACCGGTTTGCTGGACCGGTTCCAGACTTGTAAAAATGTTAAGGTTCAAGTCCAAAAAAAACTTATAGTCAAGAACTGATTCCGGACTTATTACAAAAAAAAACATGTCACATACCCCATTTCTTTTCAATCCACCTGAAACCTTCTATAGATTGCAAAATTTGTGCTGCAAAATGAAGAAAACATTGCCATCAGGCATCATCAACTGTCGGCCTCCATGTCATGTGGCCACAGTTTTGCCCAAACAACATTGCAAGGTTGCCAACATGCAATTTTGTATATGCCACGAGTCTGGAACTGAACCTAAACCTCTGGACTTGAATCTGGACCAGAACCTAAATGTGAGTTTAGGTACACAGCACTAATTCTGTATAACCCAGACCCTTCACAGGCATGTGTTGTAGTAGCAGCTGTCTATATTACACCTAAGAACTTCTTACACCTAGCCTTCTAACTGTAAGCATTGTTTAAAGCTATCTAGTGATGATGTCCCAAGGCATCAATATTTCTAGGAAAAAAAAAACAGTTTTGAACACCTCAATCCTTGGTTGATAACTCTTGGTTGTACTTAAAGGCATGGCTATTCTTTCAGGTGCATGTACTTCAGTTATGTGTGTGTAGTAGAATGTACAGCTGTATATTTGTTCTGTGTCAAGAAAAAAGATTTTAGCCACTGGATCAGGAATGGTATTTGCTATCATCATTAAGTGAGTTTCCATTAAGATTTTGTACTTTTTTCATTGTTGTTATCATTTGCATCTAGAACTTTTCCAGGTTTTAGGGAAATATTCTTTACTATTCGACATGTAATGTAGTTTTTCTAAAATGTGTACTTTGGTATGGATGTCCCCAGATTTTTACGGCTAACACAGACAGAGATACAGAGGTGACAAACCTCCTGGATGCGCCAGTTTCCACACGGTTTGTTCGCTTCTGGCCCTGGACCTGGAGAAACCACATCAGTATGAGGGTGGAAGTCCTCGGCTGTGACAACAGTGGACGTGAGTTTGTCTCTGTCTCTGTTCACCAAATTCAGTACAATGTACATGACTTGTATGTATTCCTGTGAGTAAGGCGACTTAATTTTATGGATGACATCCTCTGAAGACACCCAAACTAGAGTAGTGCGCATGGGCGAATAAAAAAAATCCGGCCAAAAAAAAAATGCTAGTAAACCACAAGAATACAAAGCTGGTATTATGAATTTGCGGCAGTACTTAGTGACGTACATGTATACGACTTTTTGCGGAATTTATGAATCGGCACTGTACTATGTACTGAGCTCTTGAGTCGTGGAGCTTCGGTAGCCTATGTGCCCGGTTCCGTATATTGTCGCTAACTACCATGGACTACCCAGGCACTAGGCCTAGAGCCAGGCCAGAGCCTCGGTGGACGTGATCTTTCTTTTTTTTTTTTTTGATAACATACGAAAATCAATGCGCGCGGATGTCATCCATAAAATTAAGTCGGTGTGGCCTAAGCTAGAGCTTTATGGTCAGCACCCGTTTTCCCGTCAATATATTATTGCAAGAATTTTGTGGCATGTGATGAAAAACAAATTAAACCAATCTGTCTGGGTAAAGTGATGAAAGTTGTGTTAAGTGTCTTTTCTGTCATTGCCATTTAATCTGTCACACTGTGTGTCATGTTTAACACAGATATGATCCAACTGTAATGCTTCTGTTGGATGATTTGCTGTATAGCTTTATGTATTTTTGTGTAATTTAAAAGAAAATATTGACACCAACATCAACATATAGAACATATAGCTTTCATTACTCTAGTATGAGATATACAGCTACAAAGTTTACCTTAACATATTATGATAAGAACTTGGAGTTGCTGGACTTAGTATTTTGATCTGTATAGCTACAGATCTTTGTCCAGGAATGAGTAGTATTAGCTTCAAAGGTGTTAGATAAATTTTTTCCCTTCAATTCTTCTAGAATTCATGGTGTGTCCAAGTGGATGGTCCCTGTTCCAAGGAAACTGCTACTACTTTGAGAAACAAGAGGCCGACTGGAATGATGCGGAGGCTTACTGCAGGCAACAAGGCGCCAACCTTGCCAGTATCACTTCAGGAGCTGAACAGAGCTACATCCGATGTGAGCCTTCATTTCATTTTCATTTTATTTTATTTAACCAGAGTATACGTAGTACACTCAGGTCTACTGACCTGGTTTTCAGGTATCCCTGGGGTCACATATATAAAATTCACAATATACATGAGAAAATACACAATAAGAATTATACATTACAATTTCAACTCAACATTACATAACAATCGTAAATACATTTGCCACTCAAGCCCCACTCACAAAGAGTCTTTGAAAGATGTTAGAGTTGAAAGCTGTCTTTGTTCCCTGGAAAGTTGGTTCCACAGAACCGGGCCCTGGTACTGCAGAGACCCTTTGAACGATGTTATGTTTGCCTGTGGCACTTTCAGCCTGTGAGGATCCAGTTCTGTAGTTGGCTCTAGCCTGACATGTTTGCTTTTCTGTAAAATCAATGTTCTACAATGTATAGTAGTCTGTGAGAATGACTTCAGGCCATACCAATTTAATTTCTTGGTTAACGGATTCGCCATTATTTTCATTTTTTTCTGATTTGCAAAAAAAAAAAGAATCCAGAATCAACAGCAAAATGCTCATATTTTGCCCTGAAAAGTTGAAAAAAGTACTTTTCTTCCTAGTTGTTACAGTTATTCCATCTTTCAATGCAGTGGTATCATTAAAAGTTCAAAATTCATTGTTTAAATTTTGAACCAGCCTGGTGTGTTGACTACATGACTCCTATCGTGCCATTTTGGGCCACAGTAGGATGCCTAGGCCTGTTTTTATTTTTTATTTTTGCCCGCTGCTCCATTATTTTTCTAGAAAAGTCCATTAACCAAGAAATTAAATTGGTGTGGACTTAATTTGTAACAACAATTTGGAGACCTCAGACCTCCATGAAACCATGATGGGGCTGGAAATCTCTCATGAAAAAAGGGCTCCATTTGCCTAGACAACTACTGATACAACATATTTAGCCATTTGCAAGCTCCTTTTGTAACCCTCTTCTTTATTGTGCTAATGAAAAACACCAGCTGTCAGATGTCAAGGAGGTTGTGTAATGAAAAACACCAGTAGAAACAGCAAGTGCTACCAAATTTAGAAGTGATTAATGACTTTCTCTACCTGAGACAGACTGAATCCAACCATTATCCATTACAACCTAACTAAAAGGCCATGTGGAAACACACACACACACACACACACACACATACACACACAGACATACCAAAAAACAATACCTCCATTTAAGTACATTCTCCAAAACGTGTTGGTAGCAGCTGTGCAAGGGAATGTGATATTAGTATCCCTTAAACCAACAATTAATGGAATCAGATTGAAAAGTGTGCAATGAAGACAGGAACTTTCTACTTTGTCCTGTCCTTGGTGCTGAATTCCTGGTTTTCTGCATCCAAAAGCTCTTACTTCAAGCTGATAATTCTGCTAAGTACTGTTTTGGGTCCAACTTGACCATTAACAAGTAAAGAATGGTCTACATGTATTTGTATGAAATATCAGTTGTAGGTGTTCCCTTGCCTGTTTGTTTTTTATTTATTGATTTCAGTTTATTGTAAAGTGTAAACCTGCTGCCATGGCAGTAGGTGAATGGAAATCTTACACATGTGTACACATGTATGATATTTTCTTTTTTTTCTGTCAGCTCACATGAACACAAGACAACACATAGGTTTCACAGACAGGGATGTTGAGGGAACATTTGCTTGGACTGACGGCTCTCTTGTTGTAAGTACAATCTGACACTTTTGTTTCACCCATAAGCTTTCACCCTTAGACACTCCTCCCAAACCTATGAAAAGCGGCCTGATGGCCAAATAGAGCAGTTTTTGAGTGTAAAAACTGGGGTTCAGGAGTGAGTCAAGGAGTGGTTGGCTGTCAAATTTGACTCAAATATAATTCAAATTCTATTTGATTCATGTAGAAAGGTAGGCGCCACGTAAATCTGGTCAAACTGCTCCCAAATTTCAGCCTACCTTGGTCGGCTGGTGATCAAGGAAAGGTTCTGGATGTGTGACAGGAGCACGTTGGCAGAACGTACTGTACCTGCGTGAAACCCATAATGTATTGTACATAGCACTTAGGCAAAAATGTCATAGAAGGTCGAATTTGCGCATATAAGGTTCACACTCTGTCTGTAGTTTCCAAATGTTGTGTCAAAAAAGATATTGTCTGCAACAGGCAAAATTCTAATGCAACATGAACCAAAAATCCAACGAAAACCGTGAAAAATGGTTTTTTTGCGCAGGCGCAGTACGTTCTGCCGACGGAATTCTGTATCTGTATCGGTATAGCCGGTACAACCGCTCTTTGGTGTAACACACCAGCTTCGCAGGCATACGGCACGGCAGCAGCTAGCTATATCACACTGAACGACTTGTTACACTCAATCTTTGCACATTTGATTGCAGGAGTTGTTTAAAGCTTTCTAGTGATGATGCCCCAACTTTGCTTGGTGGCAACGAGTTCCAGTCTACGATAGTTCTGGGGAAAGAGGAGTTTTTGAATACCTCAATTCTTGGTTGATAACTCTGATATTTCTTGTTCTTTTGGGGGCAGGATTGTGACAGGGGATTGACCTTCATCGACGTATCTGATAGATTTGTTTATATTCTTCAGACATTCTTGAACTGGAACCCGAACGAACCTAACGACGCTGGAGGTGAGGACTGTACCGAACTGATCGTAGACAGCGGGAAGTGGAACGACATCCCCTGTGATGGGAGAAACCGCGACTACACCTGTAAGAAACCTGCACGTGAGTTTGTTTTGTTGTTCGTTTCTCTCACATAAACAGTAAATTGCTTTCAGGTACATGACTTTTATTGTATATTACTCCTATTTTGTACAGTAGGTAGAAGCTAGGTGTAAGGTTTGGGGTCGTGTGGCGCAGCGGTAGCGCGTTCGGCTCGGAACCTAGAGGTCCAGGGTTTGATCCCCACCCATGTCACTGATCTTGTGCCCTTGGGAAAGGCACTTAACACGAATTTCCTCACTTCACTCAGGTGTAAAGAGTACCTAGCTTCGGTTAGGGACGTCCCTCGGATACGTAAACTGGAGGTCCCATGTTTGAGGAGAGCCACACCTCGAGCACGTTAAAGATCCCACCACACCTTTCGAAAAGTGTAGGGGCATGCCCCGGTGTGCGATGGTCCAAAATTCTACAGCCCAAATACTACAGTGTAGCAGAATCATCAGCAAGTTGATGTTGGCTACCTTAACCCCCAAAGACCAAGACCAAGGTTTTGTCCACTCACGCCAAGATTGACCCATACTCTTGTTGATAAGTTAGGCCATGTTGATTTAATTAATATATTTAAAATTAATTTAACATCCGAACGTGCATGTCGGTTGGAAAGAAAAGGTTTTCGACCATACTGTAAATCATACAAAGCAGCTGCAAAATGAGCAACTATATATATGCTGTAAGTTGCAAATATTTCGGAAAACGATACTAACGGCATAGAATGTCGTTAATAGAGTCATGTGAGGAAATAACTTTTGGGGGTAAAAGGTTCAGTATTGATTGCAGAAGTAACCACCTTTTTTGTTCTATATCTGTAGAAATTGCAGCACCACCAGTTATACCAACAACAATTGGTAAGTGGGATCTCAGTTAATAGAGAAGTTTATTGCAAATTCGTGCCCGGGGGCTAATTGCAAATTACAAACATAACAGCACAACAAAACAGAGTATATAAAAAAACTAAAATCTACATGATGAAAGGTAGATGTCTAAAGCTGTAGCTATGTCTAAAAGTATATCATGAACATCTGTGTCCATAATATCACCAGGGTCCATAATATCGCCACCTTGAGAAATAGTGTGCTTTAAGATAGTTTTACTGCAACATACCCTAGGTACATTGTATGTACATTTGATGTGTGAAGGAGTGCAGACCAAAAGTATGTTGCAGTAAAAATATCTTTAAGCTCACTGTTTCTCAAGGTGGCGATATTATGGACCCTGGTGATATTATGGACACAGATGTTATGTCTAAGGGGTTTGACATCTCTTTGTTAAAATTAATAGTACAACATGATTTATTTATGGTTAGACTAATTATTATGGAGACAATAGTAAAAATCGTATACAGTCTGATGTCAAGCTTGACCCCCCCCCCAGGCTGGACCAGTGGAAAGTGGCCCCCCTGGGTGGGATGAGGACCCCATGAGTGACTACTGTTACCAGGTGAATGTGGGATCCTTCCGTACCTGGCACCACGCCAGGGAGAACTGTCAGAACAAGGGAGGAGACCTGGTCAGCATAACCACCCCGCAGGAACAGTCATACCTCAACGGTTGGTTTGGTTTCTTCCATTCTCCATTAGTGAATACATTCACTAGGGCAACACCAATTTAATTTGTTGGTTACGGACTTTTATATAAAAATAATGGAGCGGGCGGGCGAAAAAAATATAAAAATAAAAACAGGCCTAGGCATCCTACATGTATTATGGCCCAAAATGGTACAATAGGAGCCATGAAGCCAACACACCAGGCTGGTTCAAAATTTAAACAATGAATTTTGAACTTTTAATGATACCACTGCATTGAAACATGGAATAACTGTAACAACTAGGAAGAAAAGGACTGTTTTCAACTGTTCAGAGCAAAATATGAGCATTTTGCAGTTGATTCTGAATTTTTATTTTATTTGCAAATCAGAAAAAAAAATGAAGCGGGCAAATCCGTTAACCAAGAAATTAATTGGTGAAATTATTTGTTTTAATCAGTTGTGACTTTTGAGGATGAACGACATGTAATATTATTCCCATATCATTATGATTATCATATTTTGAGAATTGCAGAATTTTAATTACGGTCCTGAAAAATTAGGATCAGTATGTAGAGATTCACTGTGTTAGTTTTTTACATTTTAGCCAAAGTGATCCAAGAAATAAAGTTAATGGCATGCTGAAATGCATCAGTAGACTGATATTTGACATTGTCTCTCATTGGTGGCCAGCCCATATAATAAAAGGCTAGGCCTCGAATATGTAGCCTGGAATTCATCCGTGAATGCTTCATCTCCGCTCCGTTCCTCCGCTCTGCCTTCGGAGATAAAGCGTTCACGGATGGATTCCAGGCTACATATTCGAGGCCTAGCCTTTTATTATTATATCTCCAACATTTAGAATACAACTTGATCCTACATTACGTAATATGAAAAAAATACGGAATTGTCACATGTATTTAATGTTACTGAGTAGGACCAGTGTCAAATAAAGGGTTTACAGATTATTAATGAATTTCATTCATTCTTTCAAATACTGTATTTTCCAGGTCGTTTGAGTGGAGTGACAGGTGTGACAGGGGTTTGGATTGGTGCTCACGACAGGGGAACTGAGGGAGGCTGGGAGTGGAGCGACGGGATGCCTTTCACCTACCTGAACTGGGGAGGAGGTAAGCTCTACATAGTGGACTGTTTGTAAGAAAGTAAAGGGCTAGGGCTAGGGCTAGGGCTAGGGCTAGGGCTAGGGCTAGGGCTAGGGCTAGGGCTAGGGCTAGGGCTAGGGCTAGGGCTAGGGCTAGGGCTAGGGCTAGGGCTAGGGCTAGGGCTAGGGCTAGGGCTAGGGCTAGGGCAAGGGCTAGGGCTGGGGTTAGAGTTAGAGTTAGAGTTAGGGTAAGGCCTAGTGTTAGGATTAGGGTTAGGGTTAGGGTTAGGGTTAGGGTTAGAGTTAGGGTTGGGGTTGGGGTTGGGGTTAGAGTTAGGGTTGGGGTTAGAGTTGGGGTAAGGGTTAGGGTAAGGGTTAGAGTTAGAGTTAGGGCTAGGGCTAGGGCTAGGGCTAGGGCTAGGGTTAAGGGTTAGGGTTAGGGTTAGGGTTAGGGTTAGGGTTAGGGTTAGGGTTAGAGTTAGGGTTGTGGTTAGGGTTAGGGTTAGGGTTGGGGTTAGAGTTAGGGTAAGGCTTAGTGTTAGGGTTAGGGTTAGAGTTAGGGTTGGAGTTGGGGTTAGGGTTGGGGTTGGGGTTAGAGTTAGGGTAAGGCTTAGTGTTAGGGTTAGGGTTAGAGTTAGGGTTGGGGTTAGGGTTAGGGTTAGGGTTGGGGTTAGAGTTAAGGGTTAGGGTAAGGGATAGGGTTAGGGCTAGGGTTAGGGTTAAGGTTAGGTTAGGGTTAGGGTTTGTTTTGCGCAGCAGTTCCATCTGATTTTATAATAGCTTTCAATTTAATCAAATCCAAATCTTAGTGCACCTGAGCTAACTTTGTCGTCATTTGCATTTCAGGGGAACCAAACAATGCCGGTTCTGGTGAGGACTGCACAGAAATGTTGGTCAGTAACGCTCTGTGGAACGACATGCCCTGTGATTCTCTGCGTGGGTACATGTGCAAAAGGCGAGGTCAGTCATCGTGATTTTCATAACATCCATTATTGGCAATACCGTTAGTAGTAGTAATGGTTGTAAGAATTTAAAATACAGGTTATAGACCAATGTGTAATCAGTTGGTTTGTTACACACAAGCATTTGTACATAAATTGTGTGTTATATGTAATATCATAATAATTATGATTGTGTAATTGTGATGTACGGTATGTAACTTCCATTTAGCATTTATCCACCAGGTTACGTAAGGCCACAGCAAGTAATCAGGGCGCACATAAATTTTTGCCTGAATTTGAAAAAAAAACAAGAAATTTTGTTATCCTCAGACAGTGGTCAACATGCTGAAAATGGGCAAAGATGTATGTTGCCATGCCGGAACGTCGATGGCAGATGAATATAAAGAGAGGAGACAAGAAAAGGCTCTGACTTAATATTTTGTTTTTTACTTTGATGCAGTGATATTTGATGGTGGCTGTGTATGACGATTGTGTGATATTCCCGCTGAATCAAAACCATTTGTACAATAATTGAGTCAAAATTTGAAAATGTAGGAACCTTGTTTTTTTGGCCCGCCTTGTTTTTTTCGCCCGCTCGCATTAGATTTGGATCGAGTCTGCGGAGGATGTCATCCATAAAATTTAAGGCCTAATATATTTGCAACTCTATCTCTAGCGCAGCACAGCAGAGAAGCAAAGTATTGAAATTCTATTTTTGATTAGTTGCATTATTGCTGACAATTTTCTTTTACTTCTTTTTTAGGAAATGTCCCAACACTACCACCACCATCAGCTGGTAGTACTGATGGTAAGAATGTTTTTATTGTCATTTGACATGTTCCTGTCAGTGTCTATATTAAACATTGTAATACTACAAGAAGACATTTCTCGCTCTATGTTTCTTTAACTTACATGTAGATTTTTGCCCTAAATTAAAATGAGGTGTTCAGAAAATGCTACAGTTTTGTTCCTTTATATAGAATTATGGTAAAGTGGAAGTTGCTGCCACAAAGTATATTATGCAGTTTAGATATCATCACTACTTACATTTATATGCAAATTTCGGTTTCGCAGGTGTCTCAATGAAATAGTTTCCTGAACCAAGATGCTGACATTAAAGAAAGTATACACAAAGCTTTAATGTTTTTGGTGTAACATTACAGCATGGTGAAATTTTGGATGCAAACAAAGACCTTTTTGCCTGTCTCTCTTATTTTCAGACTCCTACACATACCATCTGTGCGAGCGGTACCAGTTTGACTTAAGCTGCGACGATGATGAAGTCATTGAGATCATCGATGCCAACTACGGACGGACATCTCAGACCATCTGTGCAGACAGCCCCATCTCTGTAACCAATTGTCTGTCCCCCACGAGTGTGGATGTTGTTCGGGGGACCTGTGACGGACAGCAGACGTGTACGCTTCAGGCAACAAACGCTGTCTTCGGGGACCCTTGCCAAGGGACGTACAAGTATCTGGAAGTGACCTATCGTTGTGTGAAACAAGGTCAGCAATTGTATAAAGTCATACTATCTTTCTCTTGAAATTTTTTTATGATGCATAAATCTAGAATCGAGCCCACTTAATACTTTAAGTACATGTAAGTACTGCCAGATTTAATATGACAGTCACTGTATTCCCTTATCTTATCTGGAGCAACCGATTCCCTGGCCAGTCACCAACAATATTTCATCAGTCCCTTGATGAGTGTATCTGTTATATCAGTATAGCCGGTATACACACCAGCTTCGCAGGCATGCGGCGTGGCGGCAGCTAGCTATATCACGCCGAATGACTTGTTACACTCCATATCTTTGCACCTTCAATTGCAGGAGGTGTTTAAAGCTTTCTAATGATGATGCCCCAACTGTGCTTGGTGGCAACGAGTTCCAGTCTACATTTAGTTCTTGGGAATCTAAATACAAGTTTTTGAACACCTCAATTCTTAGTTGAATCTCTGATATTTGAAGGCATGACTGTTTCTTGTTCTTTTCTGGGCTAGTATTATATACTTAGTGGTTGGTACATCCACCAGTAACTCAGTTATCAAGTCATTGTACATGCATATCAAGCAACAAACATGTGTTTCACAGCCTGCATACAGCCACTTGGCATGGAGAATGGAGACATCCATGACAGCCAGCTGGCTGCGTCTGGATCCTGGAACTACCAACATGGCCCAGAACGTGCCCGTCTGCATCAGGGACAGGGTGGTGGGGGGGCCGGCGCCTGGTGTGCCGGTACCAACGATCCCAACCAGTGGATAGAGGTACATTGTACAACAAGAATTCGGAGATCTCATACCTCCATGAAATATGAGTTTTTGTATTTTTATTTGTCTAATTGACTATAGAAATAAGGTCCCAATAAGCTGCTAGGGGAACAAAACCCACACCATTTCTTCCTGACAGGAAAAGCTATCTGTCACCAAAAATTCAAGACCATAGCATGTTCAGGACGAAAGATACAAAAACTGGAAGTTCTGCTGCAGTACCAAGGTCATCCACCAGGAGGCCCATATATGACCTTGACCTTTGCCTTCCTAAGACTTACCTGCATACCAAATATCATCACAATCCATAAAGGCGTTATGAAGTTATGCTGACTACAAATGTGCAGAAACACAAACACACACACAGACAGACACACACACAGGCAGACACACACACAGACAGACACGCCAAAAACAATACCTCCATTTTTCATGGAGGTAATAACATGTTGCATACTGTTGAAGTATTTTTGCATCATTTAAATGTGAATGATTTAGTATTATCACCATCATTTTAAACTGCGAAAAAAGGCTATTTCCTACTTCAATCTGTAACACTATGCACTTTGTATAATAATGGCTTATGTACAGTTTGTACTCTCTGAAACATTTACCAACACTCTACAATGTAATACTATTTATATCATACCCGGGCTGCGATAACGTTTGATAACGGGTTCCGGACCGGGCAGTACTTTACGGTACGGCCCGGGCTCCATGGCTTCCATAGAACGATTCGAACGCGTTTTGCCCTAAACGTGCACGCCGCTTTCAAAAATTCGAATACAGAATCCGAACTGATGTTTTTGCATTTGAGGGTTCAGGGGCACCAACTATTGGCTCATCTTGCATTGAAAGGCGCATTTTCTTGGGTGGGTATGACATAGATAAAATACAACACAGTGTATTCCGCATCGCCCTCGGTCCCGGCCCTCCCGCGAGTCGGATCGGCCTGCGGCTGTCGGGCGATCCGACACGCGGTCGGGCCGATACCTCGGGCGATACGGAATACCCTGTGTTGTATTCTACATGTATATATACAATGTATCTATGAAATAAGGGGCTTGCCACAATCTTGCTTTGTATGTTACTTTAATATATACAATCATGTATTTATGAAAAATATGGCATAATGGAGACTTGACATCTAACACTTTATCATCTTTGGTATTCAGGTGGATCTCCTCCGCTCTATCAGTGTGACAGGTATCCAGACCCAGGGCAGGGCTGACTATGATCAGTGGGTGACGACCTTCCGGGTCCAGTATAGCGATGACAGGACCACCTGGAGGACATATGGAGATGGGGATGGAACTGTAAGAATCATGCTTTCTGGGCAGCAAATCTGGATTTTCAAAGTCAATTTTCTGGTCATACTTTTGTGTCAATCCTATTCTATACAATGTAGCATACTGATATCTGTGAGATAAAGACATGATGTCACTGGCAGAAAACAGTTGCTTGATTTGTATTGTAGGCTGGTTGAAGCTATTTATGGGTGGTACAGAAACGCCTCATTAAAAAAATGTAGCTTGCTTTTGGGCTACTTGAAACACTTCAAGTATAAAATTACGCCAAAACTGAGCCTAAAAATCGCAGTAAATGTCAATATTAGACACATGCATTTCCTCATCCAGAATATTGTTTGTTTTGCTGTCCTGGAATTACATTCATATTTTGGATGCCTTTAAATGCTAGATTTAAAAGTAAATTTTACACTACATTCATGCCTCAAAGGCACAGTTCATCTGTCCATAAGGACCTCGACTATCACGTGCTGGGTGTGGCTTGATAAACATACAACAAACAAATGCATCTTAGTAAAATAATATAGTAAAGCATAGATAACAATACACAAGCTCATCATACATAGTAACGGTAGACAAAAGTGTTGTACTAAGCTGACCAAGTACAGTCAACTTGAAAGTGTTTAATGACTCCCCTTATAATTTAACTATGTACAATGTAGATAGAAACAGGTACATACTATGTTTTTCAATCACCTAACATTCAGTATGTCCTGTCATATTCCAGGACTTCCCAGGAAACTCTGACCGTAACACCGTGGTGACCACCATGTTCCCTAACCCCATCCTGACCCGCTGGCTCCGTGTCAACCCGAGAACCTGGAGCGGCCATGTCAGTCTGAGGATGGAAATCCTAGGATGTGACCCAGGAGGTACATAAAGAATACTACACAGTGTATTCCAAACGCGCGAGGTACCGAGGGCTGGTACCGAGGGTGATGCGGAATACACAGTGTTGTATTTTATTCATGTCATACCCACCCAAGAAAACAGAGTCTGACATTTCAATGCAAAATGGGACAAAAAATTGGTGTATGTAAACAAATAGTGTAACGGCGTCAATTCCAAATTTGGAGTTCGAAGTTTCGAAAGCGGCGCACTTGGTGCATGCAAAACGTGTTCAAATTATTCTATGGAACATTTGGAAGCCCATATGATAAAAAAATAGAACCCTGGTTTAGCATATCTTAGTGATAATATCACATCAAAATTCATCTACCGGTATCTTGATAGTCATAACAAGATACTTTTTTCTACAGAACTTGTCACCTGCAGCACTCGGGCTGACTACAGAGATGACATGAGATATGAGTAAGTTTTGTATGCACTTTCTAGCTACATGTAAGTAACGTTACACATCTTACGAAGTTAGATACACTGTATATACTAATGCTCATGAACGTTTTTAGATACTAGATACTCCCAAAGTACCGTATGTCATCAGTTTCCTTTGTCTTACCTTTATTTCGTCTAACCTTTGGACATGTTTATGTACAGGGTCTACTGTCCACCAGGATGTGTTACCAATTACCACTTCCTCTGGGGAACTGGCATCTACACAGATGTAAGACTACTAGTATTAACTTTATAAATTTTTTAATTGTTTGATGATTGTGGCATTGCAACATGAAAGTTCAAGTTCAGTGGCCATTATTTTTTTGTTTATTGTTACAGCAACAGTTGTATAAGTATCATTCATAGTCCTTTACATGTATTTATTATTTTAGCAAACCTGCCTCTGGACCAATAGGTTGGGAGTTTAAATCCTAGCTGTTGTTGCTCACCTGGCATGCATGCTACTGGTCAGGGTTGCAGTCCTTAGGATGGGATAGTCTAGTACTGTTCATTGTGCTTGTCGAAAAGAGATCATAATGGAAACCTGGTACAATGATTAATGAACCTGTAAATATGGCACCTAGCATCCATGTCTCCACTGTCACGACCAGTGGAAGAGTAGCTCTTCATTGAGCTGTAACTGGATTGAAATCACTTAAGATTTTCTGTTGACCCTGTTTTCTGGCAGGATTCTTACATCTGTGTGGCAGCCCTCCACGATGGCAGGATCACAAACGAACACGGCGGCAGGGTGACGGTGATCAAGAGCGACGGTCTGACCAGTTACCAGGGATCAACACAAAACGGCGTCACATCAAGCTCGTAAGTGGTTAAAACTGACCTTACAATATTTTTCAATGTTCAACACTAATCTTAGATAAACATCTAACATCCGTGTCCATAATATCACCAGGGTCCATAATATCGCCACCTTGAGAAATAGTGTGCTTTAAGATATTTTTACTGCAACATACTTTTGGTATGCACTCCTGCACACCTCAAATGTACATACCTAGGGTATGTTGCAGTAAAAATATCTTAAGCACACTTTTTCTCAAGGTGGTGATATTATGGACCCTGGTGATATTATGGACACGGATGTTAAAACATGTTCCCTAAAATAATCATCAAGGAGCAACCAAGAATAGTGCAAAGTAGTAATTTGGTCATGAATTCAGCTGAAAATACTGTCTCTGTGATGGTATTGATACATGTATATATGACTGTTAAGAATTATACAAGGAAGAATACATTTTGTATTTTGACATGTGAACAAAAAACTCACCTTGGTAAATATTTTTTTCAAAAACTTGCATTGACTTTGAAAATATAAATAACTGACCTCTGTTTCATGTACCTGTTCACAGGTATGGTGACTGGACAAGTCATTATTCATTTGCCTTTGACATGGGACGTAAGTATCACGTTAATATATCAACTCTTCAGCATGTTTACAAATTAGTTAGCCTGAATACACTACACATCTATCTCACAACTATAATTATGGTGAAGCCAAGGTTTCTTTGATAATATAATAGTTAGTGGCGCTTGAACCCTGCTATTACCCTAACTTGAAACATAATTGTTACATGTACATGTATCTTTAGTGAAGAGAATATGTTCAATGATCAAGTCTGGTTTCACCACCCTCAGAACTGCGCTGCCCTCTCGGCTGGTCCCCGTACGGAGACAACTGTTACAAGGTGATGATGGACTCTGTCTCCTGGTACGACAGTAGCACGTCCTGCCGCAGCATGAACGGGGAACTGGTCTCCATCGCGGACTTCAACGAGAACTACTTTGTCACAAGCATCATTGCTGGAGGTACTATTGATGTTCTTTTGTCCCGTCAGGACTTTGTTGAAATTTTGTTATGTTGACATGTGTTTTGGAACAAAAGAATTTTCTTACATGTAGATTCTTTTCTGAAGTTATGAACGTATTAAAAAAGAACCTCCTTGTAAAATTTTCCCATAGTCTTATTTCTAAGTCAAGGCAAGTCAGTAACTAATGCATCATTGCTGGGGGTAATATCAGATGTTCTTTTGTCCCAGTCAGGAATTTGGGGATGTTGACATCTATTTTGGAACAAAGAGATTTTCTTCTAGATAAGATTTTTTTCTGAAGTTATAAACTTCAAGGTACATTGTTAATTTGGTACATTAAGAAGGAACCTTCTTGTAAAATTGACCCACCATCTAATTTTTAAGTCAAGGCAAGTCACTAACTAGTACATGTACAACTAACAAATAGAGAGAATTTGGGCAGATGCTCTATTTTACTTATAATCAGCTAACTCTAAATTTGGGTTAGGTTTAGGTTTAGGTTCAGGTTTAGGTAAGGGTTAGGGCTGGTCACCTCAAAAAAGGATGAACTGAAGTGAACTGAACTTGGCTTTTTATTATTATGTGACATATTTAGTAGACTAAGTGTAAAATAATAATTTTCCCCCTTTGTAGCTGGCACCCGACAGGTTTGGATTGGTCTGAATGACCAGGCCATACAGAACTACTTCCAGTGGTCAGATGGATCCAAGAACACCTACACCAACTGGAACGTCCACGAGCCCAACAACTGGGCTGGACACGGCGGCGGGCAGCTGGAAGACTGTGTCTCCATTTTCGTTGCCGTAAGTTTGAACTTTAAATTGAAGCGATACATATAACAACATTTTCTCCCTGGTAGGAAGCTGCAGCAAGAGGCTATGGGTACTTTTTGAAACTTAAAGACTAATTATAAACCAGCCTGTTCACTTCATAGCTGACATATTGTAACATTTCTGGCTATCATGGGGTGCCTTGATAGCCAGAAATGTTATTTCGCCCTGTAGCTTCATATTTTTTCTGAAAAAATCAGAGAAACAACAAATTAAATTGGTGTGGCCTAAAGACTATGTAATATTTGCAATAGTCATAAAACTGTTGTCGTTCTGTATAGAGCAATAACGTATCCAGGATGTGTTTTTTTCGACTTACAAGTCTTGGATAGAGCAAGCACATTATCCAGATCTGTTGTTTTGCTAGCATCGTTGACAATGGAGCCCCTTGTGACTTGCATTTGTTATATGATGACACAATGAACATTCTAACACTCAAGAAAGTATTGAAGATGAGGTAGAACTGCCATGCTAGACAGAAGTGTACATGTCTGGAATGACATCTTGAGTGGCAACTTGCAAGGGGATGAACTAAAACAGCCTGGTCAGGCCCCACTTTGGTGACCTTAGCATTGTTCGTTAGAATCCCCTGACTTTTTTCTGCAGGATGACGGTCGACCAGATGATCCCAGCTACAGCGAGCATGCGGGTCAGTGGAACGATGAACTGTGCACCAATACCATGCCTTACGTCTGCGAGGCACCCAAACAGCTGCTCACACCACCTACTGTGGAGCCAACTATTCAAGGCTGCGAACGGGTAAGCTGATTTCAATTAATCAAAATTTGAAAAGGCAAAATAACTATTGCAGGCTCTTGAACGTCCCCCCCACCATCAGTCCAGGGCTTGAAATTCATTTTTGGGAATAGGTGCACTGGTGCACCCAACCTAATTAATTAGGTGCTCAAAAAACTTTTTGGGGTGCACCATATAAAACAAAACCTAATAACAGATATTACAGCTCCTCTTCTGAGCTTAAATCTGAAATGGGAGCTAACTTTAAAATCTTTAAAAAGTACTAAAACAAAGATATTTTAAGATTTTTCTAGCCCTTAGATGCGAAGAATATCCTGTATACTATCAATTATTTGATATGTACAAAAATAACTACAAAAATGCACCCACAGGAAAAAAAATTGGGTGCACAGCTCTAATTTTGGGTGCACTAAGGTACACATGCACCCAGTATTTTGAGCCCTGATCAGGGAATGGAATTTACTTGAGCCTGGTGTGGCAGAGGCAGGGTCTCTTGCCCAGTTCTAAAATGAACTGGCGAGGACCCTGGACCAACCCAACATGTCCTAGTATACATGTACATTTATAATCTAAATATTACTAGCGCACTAAACTCACTTTACACACACAAAATTAGTTATTTATGTTCCTTTCTACATTATTTTATTGTAATAAACATCAGCGAGTGCTTGTGATAGTTTATTATTTTCAGAAACACAACCAGTAATTCTCTCACCTTGCTTACCTACACTTCAATGTCTTAAGTATCAAACACCTTCCTCAGCGTTTCTGACTGGAGTGCTGCTTCTCAATGCAACATGTATATGTAGCCAAATGTACATTTTGTAATTGTCAGAAGTAACGTTAAGTGTTTTTGTGTTGTGTGTTTTTAGGGTTGGCTGGGCTACATGAACAGGTGTTACCTGATCAGTGAGAATGACGAGACATGGCAGAATGCCAGGCTCTTCTGTCAGAACAAGGGAGGAGAGCTGCTGCATGTTAGGGACAGGTGAGAAGACAAAATATAGGAAGGATGCATCACAAAAAACTTGATGTATTTGTAGAATACAACACAAGATATAGATATTATATAGATATAGAATAGATATTGAAAAGAATATTATTCTTCATTGCATAACCTTTTACAACAGTTACTGTTCAATCAAACACCTAAATGTAGTACATGTATTTTTTAGTATGAAAAACTTAAACTGTTCTCCATCTCAAAATTTGACCCACCAGGAATTTTCGACTGAATCACTCAGTCTTCCTCAGCTATCTGACCCAAATGCTGTGGACACATGATTTTTCCCACGTGTGACGTCAGCAAAGGGTCAAAGGTTGTCTGAAGTCGATATCGCCCCCCGTCCCGGTTGAGCGATGGTTGAAGTGCCCTGATGTATATGGCCTCTTTTATGCTTCTCTTGAAGTAATCCTGTTCGGTATCCAAATATATATATATATCAACTTCAGACACCCTTTGACCCTTTGCTGACGTGACACGTGGAAAAAAATTACATATCCACAGCATTTGGGTCAGATAGCTGAGAAAGACTGAGTGATTCAATTGAAAATTCCTGGTGAGTCAAATTTTGAGTTGGAGAACAGTTTAAGTTTTTCATAATGTACATGTAATTTACCAACTCAGATAAACTTTCATGCTGATGTATTTTCTAGATTTGAGCAGTCTTTCATCGGAAGCCAGCTGGGACAGTTGAATGGTTTCTTCTGGATAGGACTGTCTGCATCAGTGGACCCCTCCACCGGAGCTACTAACTATGTCTGGGCCAACAACATGCCCTTCACTTATGACAACTGGGATCTTCTGCAACCTGGTAAGACTACTGGCTTCAAATAACTTTTTGCAAACTTTAGTGGCTCAACTGGAATTCAATTTGAGCTTTATATGGCCCTTTTCTGTATCTGTATCGGTATAGCCAGTATAACTGTATCTGTGTAGCCAGTATAACCGCCTTTCGGCGTAACGCACCAGCTTCGCAGGCATGTGGCGTGGTTGGCTACATTACACCGATCAACTTGTTACACCCAACCCTTGAACATCTAACTCTAGACATTGTTTTGAAAGCTATCTAATTACAATGCCCCTACTGTACTAGTTCTAGGAAAGAATGAATTCTTGAATACCTCAATCCTTGGTTTCTTACTAGGACAAAATTGTCTGGATCAAGCCAAATAGATTGGTGACAAGCTTTAATACAGTCAACTTTCCCCACGGGAATGCTTCCAATCTAGCCAGGTGGATCGTTGTAGCTGTTGAGCTTTATCAAGCCAAACTGAGCCAAAAGTGACAAAGACAATGAACTTTATTGACCTTGTAACATGGGCCAAAATCTCCAGTTTAAACAACTGAGTATAATAAAATGAGGGTAGAAAAAAGAAGTACTACATTTAATATGATTATGTCACTCTGTAATATTTTCTACAAGGTTTCTTCTCTCTTTTTAGAAACATGCATATTAGACAAATTTTTAGCTTTTCAATTGTAGTTCCTAGATAACATGATACATGTATGCTTGACCAGTCTCACGGCAGCTGTGTTACCATGAATGCCAGCATGGGAGGTCTCTGATGACGAACAGCAGATGCTCTTTGAAAGTCCGACTTTTCAGAGAATAAATGATTTTTATAAAATGGCAGCACAATTTAACAGTATAGTAACTAAATGTGTCTATAGTCTACTAGATGATCGCGGGATGGGTAGTCTCTTATTACAAACAGCAGATTCTCTTTGAAAGTTCGACTTTGCAGAGAATATATAAAATGCTTGATTTATTTTGTATAGCACAATTCAACATTAGTACTAAAGGTACTTAATATGTGTCTACAATCTAGATGACTCTGCGGGTAGCTGTGTTGCCATGAATGCCGGGATGGGTGGTTCCCTGTGGGACGACCAGGCCTGCGATGTTCAGAACAAGTTTGTGTGTGAGGTAACCAGGATCGGGGTGACCCTCCACCCTTCCCTGGTCCAGACCACCATGTCCACAGACCCCTGCGCCAGTGGATGGGTGGGACAAGATGGAACCAACTACTGTTACCAGGTGAGCTCTATTCACAACCATGATTTCAGTACCATGATTTCACAGCCAATGAAATTCAGCACCATGATTTTTACAACCATGAATTCAGCACCATGGTTTCACAACCATGGTTTCAGCACCGTGGTTTTACAACCATGATTTCAGCACCATGGTTTCACATGTCCTATTGGTAAGACCTTTCTGCGGAAAGTAGAAAATATTGTATGTAGTTTGTTAGGCAGAAGATTGAATGGTGATTGTTTTTGTCACTAAAACTCCAATTTGTTTTTAATTATTCCTTATGTATGAAACATGCCCAGTGAAACCTTAAAAGCTAATCACATGTGATCTACTAGTAAAATAGATAAGAATTAAATGAAATAAAATAAGATCCATGGAATAGACAGTGAGTTTTTTCAATTGTCCCCTGAAATGGACTGTACATACTATGATGCTGAATTGTGTTATGAAAACATGTGCCTATTAAAAATTATCTGACAATAATTTAATGCTCCATAATGCTTTTCACAGATCAACAAGCCAGACCAGTTTAGCGTAAAGACTTGGGAGGAGGCGCTGGCAAACTGTCAGGCTAAAGGCGGCGACCTCGCCAGCGTACACAGTCCTGAGGAATCAAACTTCCTGTTATCACAAATGAAGTGAGTATAAAGTTTATGAAGGGATATGTATAATTATGTATAATCGGGAAAGGGGTTATATATAATTATGTATAATGGTCAAAAGGGTTATATATAATTATGTATAATGGTCAAAAGGCTTATATAATATTCATATAATAATATTATAGATAGTGGCAAAAAGGGATATGTATAATTATATATAATGGACAAATCATCATGTATAATTATAGATAATTATAGTATAATCAAAATATATAATTGGACTACTCCCTAGGGACCTATTGATGCATTCTGCATAATTGTCACCTTCTGCCATGTACTCATGAAAAATATTAACTTAACTGAATAAAAGCATTCTGGAGTTATTGGCCTGGAGTCCGGAATTGAATTGTTCTTCCGGAATTAAATTGTGACTTGTTGAACACAAGTTCTTAAACTTCAATCTTAATGAGTTTTTTAGGTGTTGCTTTCCTACATTGCCTACATGACCTGGCTGAATTTTGTTTGGTCAAGACATTACGGCACTGCTACTTTTCAATGAAATGTTGTAAAGATTCTTCTTTCCTGCATTCTTTTTCTATGATTAAGAAAGAGTTTTGTATAAAATAAAGTATAATGCAATATTTAATGAGGAGCAAAAATCCTGTGTGTTGAAGAGTGATCTGAACACATGCATATGCCAGCATACTATTAATTACTTTTCTTGTTTTTCAGTGATGTCTTTGCACAGTACTGGATAGGACTGAATGACAAGAGTGTGGAGAATGGTTTGTCACACATTTGCATTTTTTAAACTCTTACTTTTTATTGACATTTTGAAAGCATGGTACACACACGTGTACATATTACACACATCTTGAAATGTGAATTCTTTTAATTTCCAAGCTCTTTTACAGTAAGTATGATACTTTGCATAGATAGGAATAACTTCAAAGAATACAAGTTACAGTGGCTTTAATCTTGCATACATTTACTTACATACAACTGTCATAATGATTGTCCACCTGGCTTTTTCCAATGGTACTGCATCAGGCTTTTTATGTACATGTATGTGTTCATTGTATGTGTTCAGCATACATTGTAACTCGAGAAACTATGAATGGATCTTCAAATTTAAGTTCTAAAATGTTCACAGTTCAAGTTCGAAAATGGTCATTCTGTCAAGTTCCTAATGCTGCAAAGGGTTGTGTTTTTTTGTTCCTTTTTGTTTGTGTAAAACATAGCACAAGAAGCAGTAGATGATTGTTATCATATTTAAGGTAATATGTATAATATTATCAACTTTTTTTTTCTCCAGGCTTCACCTGGACAGATGGAACGCCTGTTAGTTTCACGTTGTGGAATGACGGAGAGCCTAACAATGCAGGGAATGGGGAACATTGTGTGGAGATGGTGGTTAGTTCAGGAGAAGCTTTCTGGAATGACATGGACTGTGGGGCTAGCAGGAACTGGGTCTGCAAAATCAGAAGAGGTATGATTGCTTGTAAACAACTGTCAAGCTTATCATCAGTGTTGGTAGTAATCATAGTACAATGCTAAGGCAATTTGCCAATTTGATTTGTTGCTCCTCGGATTTTTGTCAGAAAAAATATGAAGCGACAGGGCTAAATAAAAAAAAAAACAGGCCAAGGCACCCCGTGATAGCCGGAAATGGTACAATATGAGCTATGAAGTCAACATAGCAGGCTGGTTTCTAATTAAAACAATGTATTTTGAACTTTAGAATTAATGAAACAACATTGCATTGTTACATTGAAAAAGTTTAAAAGGACTTTCTTCAACCGTACGAGCCAAAATATGTCTTTTATTGCGCATTTTGCAGTTGATTTAGAACCTAAAATTTTTTTTTTTTGTGCAAATCAGAAAAAAAATGGACAGAACGAATCCGAGAAACAACAAATTAAATCGGCGTGGCCTTAGTGTTGGTAGTAATCATAGTACGATTCTGAACTTTCTTCCAACACAGAGGGGGGGGGGCAGGTACCCAAAGATCAAATTTTCAACAACCACTGTCTTCTTCATCAAGATAAGTAATGACCAATCATTTCCGAACGTGAATCCCTTGAGAGTTCTGAACATGCAAAGTTATTCACACAAGACAGACTTTATGGTTCATAACTCTGAGTGATTAGTCATTAATCCTGATGTAGGCGACAGTAGTCTTTGAAAATTTGATCCTTCTGTACACTTGTCTTGAACTAAAGTTCAGCTGTCTAGCTTTGTTAACTTTTAATAAATGTCAAGTTATTACACTTTTAACACATTGTAAGTCATACTTTACTGTAGCCAATAACGGCTGCTATTATATGACATACTGACATTTAAAAAACATATTACTAACTGTAACAGTTACAGGGGTTTTTCTAGAAAAATTTGACATCAGGGAGCAGTATCACGGCGAGGGAGCGAAGCGACCGAGGGGGGGTTGGTGCGTTGAAGTGGGACATTTTGAGGCTACTTGAGGGGGGAAATTTGAACTCTTAACCTCAATGTACCTTTCCCAAATTTCTATTCATGCATTGCATATTTCACTTATAAAATATAAGTACAATCAACAGTACACACAATCTGCAAATCATCCTTTATAATTAGTGATCAATGTTACTAGTAGCTCCAGATGACAACATTGGGTTTGCCACACGCTGAAACCTTTCCCATGGCACAATTGCAACACATTCATCCAAGCTGCTACAAACTCAGGTCTCATGTTTCACTTCAGAGCCTGTTCTATAGTATGCAAATGAAGAAGGTCTAGCTACATGTCTTGAGCAAGTTCTGAATGAACATTGTTTTTTCCATTCAAACTTTTACTACTAGAGCTAAATTTTCAAGTTTGTGGTAAGATTTTGGAATTTTTATGAGAGTAACATAGTTTGTAATGCTAGAATGTATTGTTATGTGGTGTTGTTTTTGTATTTTTACTGGAAAAAGATGATTTTGAAAAAGACTTAGGCTTCAATCTGAAAATTGATATGAGGGCGCTGGTTTGTTACATGAGGGCACTGCGCCCTTGTTCCCCTGTTCAGAAAAACCCCTGAGTTATAGTCTTAAGAGTCTCTTCATTTAACATTATAGCAGACATTTTGTTCCAGACATTTGGTCTCTATAATAGTCTATATTTTAACTGTCTATTCACATGAAACAGAGACATACATGCACATGTAAATTCAGGTCTGTGAATGCTAGACATCCAATTTTTTCACTTGTTACAGATATAATTGATGTAATGCAATGTTGTGCTAGTGCCCTTTCTAATGGCTCTTTTTTAATTTTTCACCATACAGGTGTACAGCCAATACCAATAACTACAGTGGCACCTGTAACCTGTAAGTAAAAACTTTTTGTGCTTTTCAGGCCATGTTGATTTGATTAATATGGATGACATCCCTGTGCGCATAAATTTTCACTTCCAAAAAAAACGTTTTCAACCATACTGTAAACTGTACAAAGCAGCTGCAAAATGAGCAAATATATGCCCAAAATCAAAAATATTGGAAAACCATGCAAGTGTGTATAATGCAAAAATCAACTCCAAAGTGGCAAAGGAGAAGAAGAAAATGTGAAGAAATGAAAATGAAGAACCACGAATAATGAAGGCAACTTGTTTTTGCCAAACGCGCTCTCATCAGTTTTTGGATTCCCAGAGTATGTCATCCATATAATCAAATCAACATGCCATTAGGATAAATTGTACATGTATTGAGGAGAAAACAAATGTCTTTGTATGCTTTTAGTCAAATTACACAGTTGACATTGTGAAAGCCTTTCATTGTAAATTCTGTTATTACAGCCCAATAAAATGTCACCAAATTGTGATGTAAATTATTAGCCAATAGGTGGTTTGTTTTAAAGCATGTCTGGCATTCAGAAACAGTACTGTGCAACTATATATATTTATTTATATGTACATACAGAGTGGGTGGCTAATAAATCATTTTGTGTCTGGTTTGGACAACCGTATTAATCATCAAAAAGTCAAAGGCTCATTCTACAAAGATAGAACAATTTATGGGGTGTTTACCAGCGTGAGAGTGTTCCATGCGTGTCCACAATCACTGTTATTGCAAGAAGCTGTGAAAAATGACTTGTCAGATTGCTCTTTTAACACAGTCTGAAATATTACCATTAGTCTCGCACTTCATATTTCATGTATCTGTAAATCTCACCCATTCATTTTGCCTATACTGGATTGTCATGTTTAACCAACAAACTTGAGTTCATTGGACTTTGGTGAAATATCCAGGGTTTGGTGCTTACCACACACACATATTTTCTAAAATGAAAAAAAAAATCACCAGTATACTGTGATCTGACAGTGAAGAGTTACTACATAATGAAAACCATAGTGCTGAAATCATGGTTGCAAAAGCATGGTGCTGAAATAATGCTTGTGAAACCATGGTGCTGAAATCATGGTTGTGAAACCATGGTGCTGAAAATATGGTGCTGAAATCATGGTGCTGAAATTATGGCTGTAAAATCATGGTGCTGAAATCATGGTTGTGAAACCATGGTGCTGAAATTATGGTGCTGAAATCATGGTTGTGAAACCATGGTGCTGAAATCATGGTTGTGAAACCATGGTACTGAAATTATGGTTGTGAAACCATGGTACTGAAGTTATGGCTGTGAAACCATGGTGCTGAAACCATGGTGCTGAAATCATGTCTGTGACACCATGGTGCTGAAAATATGGTTGTGAAAACATGGTGCTGAAATCATGGTTGTAAAATCCTGGTGCTAAAATCATGTTGCTGAAATTATGGTGCTGAAACCATGGTGCTGAAACCATGATGCAGATTCATGGTTGTGAAACCATGATGCAGAAAACATGGTTGTGATATCATTGTGCTGAAACCATGGTTGTGAAACCATGGTGCTGAAATCATGGTTGTGGAACCATAGTGGTGAAACCATGGTGCTGAAACCATGATGAAATTATGCTTGATGGGGCTATGTGGAGGGAAATCTGTACTTCTAGTTTGGTACCAGATGTTGTAATAGATGTCTTGTTTAAAGTTCAAAATTTTGTTCCTACACAAACTTGATGTTCTCATCCAGAGTTTTTGACAGTAACTCGGAAGTGTGGCGTCAACACTTGGTCAAAGGTTAACGATGGGTTAATGATGTTGGCCCCCATCACAATTGAGTTTCACCCCTCTCAGGAATTAGTCTTGTCTTGATGATGACTTTTTCCATCTGCCCATTGCAGATAGCTACTGCGACGGAGACTCTAACTGGGTTTCATACAGAGGAGCTTGCTATCATTTTAACGATACCAACCTGTTGGGATGGCTGCCAGCAAGACAGACGTGTCTCCTGGCTGGTGCAGACCTTGTTTCCATTAACAGCCCAGAAGAACAGGAATTCATCTTCAGAAATGTAAGTGGTTCAGTGGCAGGGTTCAAAATAACATTGCCAAGAGCTAAGTTGTCCATCAATCCTCCTGGTTGCCCCAGCTACTAAATGTACAATGCTTTTGTTAATAAATTGAATCAGTAGCTATTCTACTTAGGCCACACCAATTTAATTTCTTGGTTAACGGATTCGCCCGCTTCATTTTTTTCTGATTTGCAAAAAAAAAAAAGATTCAGAATCACCTGCAAAATGCTCATATTTTGCCCTGAAAAGTTGAAAACAGTCCTTTTCTTCCTTAGGCTAGTTGTTACAGTTATTCCATCTTTCAATGCAGTGGTATCATTAAAAGTTAAAAATTAATTTTTTAAATTTTGAACCAGCCTGGTGTTCTGACTTCATGGCTCCTATAATACCATTTTGGGCCATAATAGGATGCCTAGGCCTGTTTTAATTTTTTTTTTCGCCCGCCCACTCAGTTATTTTTCTAGAAAAATCTGTTAACCAAGAAATTAAATTGGTGTGGCCTTAGTAACTTAGGATATGTCACCTCGTAAGGGGTGGTATAACCCCGACCAATACGGTTGACCAATGATGATGAGTAACTTTACAGTAAAGAACTCAAACTAATGAATGCACAAGTCTTAAATTAGATTAAACATGATTAGAAAAAGGAATGATTAGTGCAGTATGATTACTGTAGTTGAGCCTGTGGTGTTATAGAATGCTTGACCTTAAACTTTGTACTGTGTCTTCTATCAATATTGTACCTTGTGTAGCTTAGAGTCAATGTGTAGACTATAAATTATAGTTTGATGTAAGTAGGAAGCACTTCTACTTACAACACTTTAATTAGAAAAATGAATGATTAGTACTGTACTATTAGTACCGTAGTCAAGCCTGTGGTCTGATAGGTTGCTTTGCCTTAAATTTTGTACTGTGTCTTCTGTTAATATTTTACATTGTATAGCTTAGAGATGACGTGTAGATTGTTTTACATGTAGTTTAATGTTATTAGACTGTAGCTTTATACATCACTTTAAGTAGTAAAATGAATGAATTAATTGACTACTTATTCCCTGTTTCTACTTGTAGATTTTCACGTCCAGAATCAACACCTTCTGGCTTGGAATCCGAGAGTATGGTGTGAACCAAATCTACAGGTATGCAGTTTACACTACTGAAAAACATGTCTGTTTGTTTGTTTGTTTTGCATAACCGGTAAACTGCCTTTAGGCGTAACACACCAGTTTTGTACATGAGCATACATGTACAAGCTGCGTAAGACCGAACCGTAAGGTTTGAACCACTTACACTGGGAAGTCCCCTACTCTTTTCGATAAGTGCGGTGGGTTCTTTAACGTGCGTGGGGTGTGGCTCTCCCCAAACACGGGACCTCCTCTTAACATCCTATCTGAGGGACGTCCCTAACCGAAGCTACATGTAGGTACTAATTTCCACCTGAGTGAAGTGAGGAAATTCATGTAAAGCACCTTTCCCAAGGGCACAAGATCGGTGACATGGGCAGGGTTCGAACCCGGGACCTGTTGGGTGTGACCGGAACACGGTACCGTGCCACACGACCTCACATGTAATATCATGTTCGCAGTTTTTGACTCTCAACACAAACTCTCAAACTCTCAACATCATAGTCTAATTACTCGACTACACCACAAAAGAACACCACTTTTCCCTACCTTTCTCAGTTTTCTGTCATTCTTAAAAGGGTTAACATTCTACAGTCTACATTCAAAATGACTGTAGCTTGTTATGGGGCTATTTAAAACACTTCAAGTATAAAATGATGACAAAAATGTGCTAAGAAATGGCAGTAAATGTCAAAGTCAAACAGATTTCCTCATCAAGAATATTTTTTGTTTTGCTGCCTTAAAACTGCATTGGATGGCTGTAAACATAGAACTGCCCTAGGATACAAAACAAGCAACTGTTTTCCATCATTGCCTATCTTTCTTTCTCCCTGGACTGTTGCTTGCATGATAGTTTTGGCTTGACTTCAAACTCATCTGCAAAAAAATGTGTGATTGTCTCATCCGTAAAATTAAAATAGAACAAATGTCTCCCTTCCCCTCCTACTTCAAAATGAAGTCCCGGCAAATTTAAATGAGTTTAAAGCAATTCATCTTCTTAGTGTTTCCTTGTTATCAGATAAATGGAGGGGATGATAGCTGACCATGTTGTTTAAAGAATGCACTCTCCTGCACATGTATTAAGATTAAAATCATATCATCATAATTGTATTTCTTCTTTTGAGATAAAGAAAACGACGACATTGAAGGCATGCAATGCAATTTCAGGGCAGTAAAAACTGGAAATATTCTGAATAAGACAATCTTAAAGTTTGTGATATTTACACAATCATACTGCTTCACATTGGCACATTTGAGTCAGCATTTTATACCTTCCGATTTCAAAACTGCAGAAACAAGCCCCAAGATGATTCCTTTGTTTTCTGACTGGTACCCTAAAAATCAGCCCATGGCCCTTCCAGTAACCATTTTCTGTCAGTATTTTGGGAATTTTTGCACCATGATGATCAATATGCATTGGGACAGTGTGGTTTCAATTCAATATGTTTTTTTTCTATGCTGTCACCAAAGTCCTCAGCTTAGCAGCTGTACCAAAATAAACACTTGTTATAAAGATCGCTGACGGGAAGTGCTGAGGTAGGCGTTCACTTTGCATTTGAAGTTCGGAAAGATGTAGATAAATGACTAGAATATTGGCTCTTAAAAATATTGGCTCTTAAAAATCAGGTTTCCAAGCCCTAAAAACTTCCCCAAAAAAATCCAAATGCGGGCAATTACCAACTTTAAGGACAAAGTGTATGATGTTGATACATTGCTTCCTAGACTTACCGGTAGTCACATATTAAAGTACCAAAAAAAAATCAGGAGTTACAGTATTTTATCTTTAGGGAGTTAAAACTGCAGGCTATTCTGTTGCAGGTAATTTGTTAAAGGCATATCATGCATCATTTCACATACATTATATTTCCTTTGCAACTGTAGTAGCTCAAATGCCATGTAGAATATGATTATCTGAAGTGCAACAAAAGCCATTAATGCCAAGGACAAAGAAGGCTTTATATTTCCCTTGAGGTGGTACGTGTAGCCTCAACCTCTTTAAGAATTTTATTACAAAAGAATCACTGAAGACAGTTAAGTGCAGCAACCTAAGTCTGTGTAAATTGGGAGCATAGGGATGTAACATTTCATTCTAAGTTGATAGAGCTTTTAAGATTGTTGCTGCTGCATCAAGGACATGCTCTTTAATTCTGCACGGGCTTTAACATGATAGTCACGTTGATTTGATCATATAGATGACATCCTCTTGGAACCCCAAAACTTATGTGAGCATGGGAATAAAAAAAGTTTTGGCATAAACAAAGTTGCGTTCATTATGAAATTTATTCGCTGAGCATGACAGATATTATATATATATATATAGAAATGATTATATATATATATGTGTATGTATGTATGTATGTATGTATGTATATTAAACAAACAGTATGGTATGTCAAATGATAGATTCTCCATTTTCATTTCCCAACGTTTTCTTCTTTTCCTTTGCAATTGATTTTGGCATTGTCTGACATTAGTATCATTTTCAATGTTTTTGCAATTAATGGCACACATTTTGCAGCTGTTATGTATAATAATAATAGTTGAAAACATTTTTTGGGGGGGATGAAATTTCATGAGCATGCAGATGTCATCCATATAATCAACTCGACATGGCCTAAGCATGGGTTGACAATGTTGGATTTCACTAATTTATCATTCAAAATAGATTATTTTGCCTACACCTACCATGTCACCATGGGAGGCAGTAAAATACATCATCCAACTGGGAAAGAAAAGCCAACATTTGCCAGCAAACACAATCAGTACATAAACCATCTTTACATAAAAGTTCACAATTCATTTTTTAGGCATCAATGTACCACAATGTACTTTAAAACTATCTCCATGTATCTCTAACCTAAACTGTGAACCACAGAAAATGAATGACATCACAAAAGGCAGTAATGTAGACACCAATGCCCAAAGGAGCCAAAATGAAACAGCCCTTGGCACAGAACTGATGAATGTACCATGTTTAATTACCACATCTATTCAAGGCTCATATGATCAGTTGTCTTGAAGGAATTGGTCTGGTGTCCATATATCACAGTAATGTTAAAAGTGGTGCCCATGCATAATTTATCATTGTGCAACATGCTTTTTTTTATTACTTTTGCCAAGAAATATGTTTGGGGGGCTGTGTGTGTGAGTTTGTGTGTGTGTGCGTGTATGCGCGCGTGCGTGTGAGTGTGTGCATGCGCATGTGTGTGTGTGCGTGCGTGTTTATGTGTGTGAGCGTGTGTGTATGTATGTGTGTGTGTGTGTGCGCGTGTGTGTATGTGTGCGTGCATGCACATTTGTGTGTGTGAGTGCGTGCGTGCGAGTGTGTGTGTATGGGTGTGTGTGTGTGTGTGTGTGTGTGCCTAAAGAAGGCGACAGTGGTCATTGAAAATTTGATCCCTCTAATACTCTTTGTGGTGGAATAAAGTTTAATATTGTACTATTATGATTATTACCAAGCAAACACACATGAACTTCCATGATTAGTTTTCATATAATTTATTATATAAGTTGTCCATATATCACAGTAATGTTAAAAGTGGTGGCCATGCATAATTTATCATTGAGCAACATGCTTATTACATTGTACTTTTGCCAAGAAATATGTTTGGGGGGCTGTGTGTGAGTGTGTGTGTGTGTGTGAGTGAGTGTGTGTTTGTGTGTGTGTGTGTGTGTGTGCGTGTGCGTGTTCATGTGTGTGTGTGTATGTGTGTGTGTGTGTGTGTGTGAGTGTGCATGCGTATGTGTGTGTGTGTGCGTGCGTGTTCATGTGTGTGTGTGTGTGTGTGTGTGTACTGTATGTATGTGTGTGTGTGTGTGTGTGTGTGCATGCACGTTTGTGTGTGAGTGCGTGCTTGCGAGTGCGTGTGTGTATGAGTGTGCGTGAGTGTGTGCGTGGTGGTTGAAAATTTGATTCCTCTATACTCATTGTATAGGAATAAAGTTTAACATTGTACTTATTATTACCAAGTGAACACACATGAACTTCCATGATAGTTTTCATATATATAAGTTACTGTTACAGGACTTCCTGTTTTCATATCTCATGTTCTGGACATGCTGTGGTTATGATTTTCTAATGGACACATTATTTTCTCATAGACCTGTAAAGAAGTTCTACAGGTTTGGCCTGATTTAGTTTTCTGTGCCTTTCAGCTGGTCTGACACCTCTCCGTATGTCTATCTTAACTGGAACGACGGGGAACCCAACGACTCTTTTGGGGAAGAACAGTGTGGAGAGATTTACAAGGGTACAGGTGTGTACCAGTATCATAAATGATTTTTTTTTCAATTTAGAAAACTGTCTACAGGTGTTTTAAGATGAGATATATATAAGAGACTCGATCAGTCTGCAAATTAGATGAAAAATATCTACATTTCTATGGCATAGAAATTACATGTATGCATCATACATATCAATGGCATAATTTTCCTACTCTTTTGGTTGGTTGCAGTTGGTTGGTTGCAGTTGTTTGTTTGTTCGTTTGGTTGGTTTGGTTAGTTGTTTGTTTGCAATTGGTTGGTTTGGTTTGTTGGCCAGGTGGTTCATTGGGTGCGTGGGTGATGGGAGGTTGGTTGTTACTAGTAGTTAAAAATACCCAATTTTCTCAAATGTCTACAATCAAAAGACATTCTGAAAAGTGTAAGTAAGTGAGAAAAAAGTAAACTGTTGACTGTACTCCAAAAGAGCAAGATAGCCCAATATTTAAAAAAGCAGTTACTCATAGACAAGCAACTGGATATGATTATGGAAACGGTCAGATGTTTCAGCTGGTATCCACTCAGTCACTGACAAAAGCTAAAGCTAGTGGATACTAGCTGAAACGTCTGACCGTTTCCAAAATCATATCCAGTTGCTTGAGTAACTGCTTTTTGGCGTATTGTATTACCTGGATGTCTAACCTTCATCGACGTAGCCCAATATTCTACAATACAATATTGTTGTTATATGATTACATAATGCTGATTTTCTCATTATCTTATGATGCAGTTTGCTCCTTAGAGTGCACTAACAACTTTTTCTTTCATTCGTTGTACATCAGGAAAATGGAACGATGCCAACTGTGGATCTCCTAATGGCTATATCTGTAAGAGACCGTCAGTTCCACTTACCGTGCCTCCCCCCACTGATCCCTGGAAGGGTTACTGTCCCCCCGGCTGGATAGACTATGGTGGAAACAAGTGCTACTGGATCGAGGTGTGTTATGGAAATCATTTTCGAAGATACAATTATCATTAAACATTGCAGAGGGGGGTATTGCTGAATCGCATTCAATTCCTCAAGAGGTTTAAAGTGTAGAGAATGATTTTCATATAGCCCCCTTTAAGTTGTGAAGATTCAAGTCATCCAGGGTAGAAAACTTGAATCAGTAAGACAGTATATTAGACTTTACAACTGGATAAAAGTTTAATAGCCAAACGTTTTAGGTGTTATTCCAACACTCTCATCAGTGAAATGTTTGACATTAAAAAATTTAGGTTTCTCTGATGAAGTGTTGGAACAACACCTGAAACGTTTGGCTATTAAACTTTTATCCAGTTTATCCAGTTAAAAAGTCTAAAATACTACCTTACTGATTCAAGCCCCTTTAAGTTGTACATATAAGACTGATTTGCTTTTCTTTTTATCTCATCTGTTACAGAATAGTAACAAGATGAACTGGACTGCAGCTCGATCATTCTGCCAGAGCCAGGGACAACATGCTAACCTGGTTGCCATCAACGACGAGTTTGAACAATGTCAGTTCTTGTCATTTGTTATTCTATACCCCTTTTTTACATGACTGTTCAATTGTTGTTTGCACATTTTATACCCTTAAACTAGTGTTTGGGATTCCAAATTTGTGAATATGCCACATGAGCTTTAGATGACTTTCCCATTGATACAAGTATCAAGAATTCTGTCTACCATTATATAGAGCCATTATATAACAGTTAGAGCGTTGAACTCAGAACCGAGAGGTCCCGGGTTCGATACTCACCGTGGCCCGACGTTGTGCCCTTGGGAAAGGCACTTTACACAACTTCCCCACCTATACGGTGGAGTGACGCCCACTTTGGCTAGTAATCTGTCTAACTGCATGCCAAAAACACCCTACGGATTTGGTGCGCCGATGTGACAACATCAGCACATTGGCCACTGAGAGCCGTTAAATCTATTATGATATATTATAGACCATGTACATATAGACATAGTTTTGACTGACATGTAACATCTGTGTCCATAATATCACCAGGGTCCATAATATCACCATCTTGAGAAATAGTGTGCTTAAAGATATTTTTACTGCTACATCCTTTTGGTATGCACTCCTTTACACATCAAATGTACATGCCTAGGGCATGTTGCAGTAAAAGCATCTTTAAGCACACTATTTCTCAAGGTGGCGATATTATGGACCCTGGTGATATTATGGACACAGATGTTAATATTACAGTAACTATGTTACTTATTTTGAACTCATTTTTTTTCCATGCAGCTTTCCTGACAGCCCAGCTATGGCCTTACAGGGCGAGGGAAGACAACCTGTGGATTGGGATGTCTGAACAAGTCAACCAGAACATGTTCCTGTGGACCTCTGGACACCCTGTCACATACACCAACTGGGTCAACGGAGAACCAAATGACTGGATGTCTAATGTAGGTTCTAAAAGCCGCAAAATCTGTCATGTATATGTGCATAAAACATTGTTATTGGGTGGGCCGTCTACTCTCCCCTTGCAGGCAAGGGCTGAATTGCAAGGGTCTGGAGCGGCTGCCATTCTGTGAACTCACTCAGGCTAGGTGACTTCAATACAACCCCTAAAATCTTGTTTAAGTTCATATCTGCATATTAAAGGATACTATCATGCCTACAGTTTTCAGATATTTTGTTGAAAATAAAGGGGAATTTTTTATGCAATGTTGACCAAACATTCAACAAAAAACGTAAAAAGCCTGTGGGTTTTGTTCTGCTGACGGCTTTACTTCCTTTTTGATAAGACGTCCCTAACTGAAGCTACAAATTTTGTCACCAGTAGTACTACTCATTTAGGAAATAGCAAATTTCCCAAGGACACAACAATGGGGCCTGCCAGGGACTTGAACACATAACCTTCGTATTCTTAAGGCAAGTAATTTTTATGGATGACATCAACGCGCGCGTTAATTTTCGCCTGATTTTGGGGGAAAAAAAATAAATTTTGTTGCCCTCTGACAGTGGTCACCATGCCGAAAATGGACAGAGATGTCTGTTGCCATGCCGGAAGGTGGATGGAAGATAACTAGTACATGTATGAAGAGAGGAGACAAAAAAAGGCTTTGATTCAATGATTTGTTTCTTGTATATTGTGATGTTCCCACTGAATCAAAATCATTTGTACAATGATTGAGTCAAAATTTTAACATGTAGGAACCTTTTTTTTTTCGGTCCGCCTTGTTTTTTTTCGCCTGTTTGCATTAGATTTGGAGTCTGCAGAGAATGTCATCCATGAAATATACTTGCTGTGGCATAATCAACAACCCTAGTCTAACCACAAGACCACCTTGCCACCTTAAAATAATAGCATGATTACAGCAACATTTTCTTGTTATTCTGCAGGTAGAAGAGTGTGTGGAGATGTATGTACTGGAGGACCACCCAGGACAGTGGAACGATGAAAGATGCGAGCAAAATCGGGGCTTCATCTGTCAGACCTACAAATGTTTGTATAATCTTGGTGGTCTTCTTATGAAACATATCAAAGATGAATATTGCAACAACTTGGAGAATCTTGTAAAGAGTAATGCTATGTTATAAGGAACATGTAACACTATACTGGCTTTAAACTGGTGTACTTTTGAATGTGCAATACAACGATTATTAAGTGTATTATTATGAAAAATTTTTAAATGTTCTCCAACTCATAAATTTTCACTTGGAATTTTCAACTGAATCACTCAGTTTCCCTCAGATTATTAAGTGTAAGACTTAGTTAACTTATCTAAATGTTTTATCTATTGTTACAGTATATTGCTTTTAACACTTATTTTCTGCTTTGAATGTAATGATGGTTGTAAAGGGAGGCTTAAACAAAACAAAACAAGCCATTTGTTGCCTGTGTACATGATGTATTAACTTTAATTTCAAACTTCAAACTTTTGATGTTGTTCAATCAAACCTCAAGTCCTTATTGGGACTGAATTGTATTGATTTTAGTGCTCTTGTATTGTAAAACACTGGATAATTAAAGTATAGACAACATATAAACATATCAAATATGATTTATTGTTCAAGATTATTAGAATCTGTCAATAATGGTAACTAATTATGTTGTTACAATTCACCCCCCCCCCCCTAAAGTGGTGTCTCTGGTGCAACAGTTTGAGCGTTGGACTTCCGGATTCAAAACTCACTGTGCCCCGACGTTGTGCCCTTGGAAAAGGCACTTTACACGACTTCCCCACCTGTACCGTGGAGTGACGCCCACCAATCACCGGCTTATCTGTCTAACTGTGTGCCAAAAACACACTACAGATTTAGTGCGCCGATGTGACAACATCAGCACATTGGCCACTGAGAGCTGTTAATTTTTTTTTAATTCAAACACCTCTTCACACAGCCGAGACCACATGTCCTGATGGATGGATAGCCCATTTGCAGTCCTGTTACAAAGTCTTCGAAGAGCTGAAAGAGTGGGCACCAGCAAGAACGGCTTGTAGCGCCTTCATGGCAGACCTGGCTAGTATCACCACTACAGAAGAGCAGGTGAGCCTTACAGTTTTAGTCCAGCATTTTTTTTTAACGGAGTAGTTCAATGGAAGGCGTATGCGACCACTTTTCAGCATTGAACTACATGTGGATATATGAGAGAAACATGGCTATGTCAAGAGATGGCGGTGAACGTTTGATTTGAAAGCCTCAGTAGATTGTAGGTTGGTGGGAAACACTTGTCAAGGAGGGAATTCCAAATTAAAGCTTGGCTGTACGGGGAAAGAAACTAGTACTGTCACTGTAAAAAGATTTCGAACACATCGTCAAGGAATTTGGACAGTGAAGTTGTGTGAGCTGGACTGGACTACAGCATGTAGCATCTGTAGTCCAGTGACCCTGCCTCTGGACCAAGTTGTAAGTTTGCCGGCCGAGTAAATCCCGACTGTTGTTGCTCACCATAAGTGGCATCAGTGTCCTGGGTTCATCCCCTGGTACATTGTAACTCCCAATGTACAATGAACCAGGTAAATGGTGCATATACATGTAGCATCTGTCACTTATGCTCATTATCCAAGTGTTTCGTGAAGCTAGTGACAATTTACTATGATCATGAAAGTTCACTTATAATATACGTCACTAACGCTCATTATCCAAGTTTTTCGTGAACCTAGTGACAATTTACTATGATCTTGAAAGTTCACTTACGTCACTAATGCTCATTATCCAAGTATTTCCTGAAGCTGGTGACAGTTTACTAATTATGATCTTTGTTATGATCTTGAAAGTTCATCTGTGATCAGGTTGGTAGTTACATGTTTGAAGTTAAAAACTTTTGTTCCAACACGAAAGGTAAATGTTCTCATTTTTTGACAAGTCACTCTGGTCTTCTTCAATAGACTGACCCAGTGAGAAGCTACGTGTGACTAGTTTCACTGGGTCAGTCTACTGACTCAGAGGAAGACCAGAGCAACTGGTCGAAAGCTGCAGGCGAAAACAATTATCTTTTTTGTTGGAACAAAAGTTTTAACTTTAAACTAGTGACAATTTGTTGTCCACGGTAGTTTAGTTGAATGGTTAATAAATTAAATGTGTACATGCGATTTGTCTCCTGTCCTCAGTCCTTCATGGCCCAACTTATACCCAACAACGGGGGCCAGTACTGGATCGGACTGCATGACACCATGGTAGAGAACACCTTCGTATGGGTGGACGGCACGCCTTTTGACCAAGCAGTCAGGTAACACAGTAGACATCATAATGATCGTAATACTGTAGATCACTTTATATTCGTGGTACTGTTTATTTTGCGGTTGTCACGGTCACTTCTATACTGCAGATTTATTATTACCACAAACAAAATTATTTTATTCACTGACTTTGTTTCTTCTCCACCTGCAGCCACTGCTAACATGTCCATTTTTTTCAGACCGCGAAATTTTGCTACCGCAAATATAATGTGATTAACACTGTAACAGTATTCTAGTCTACAATGGATTAGACCAAGAAACAAATCAAAACAACTACACGTAGGGGCTTGGTTTGGACCAAGTTTTATCAATTATTCACCAAAATTTTCACAGTGTAATGAATTGTTATATATTATCATTAAAATCATTAATCATAATACTACTACTTTCTATGTTTCTCAGTATGTGGAATCCTGGTGAGCCTAACAACGCTCACGCTACTGGTGAAGACTGTGTGGAAATGTTTGTGCAGGACAATGTTGGCAAGTGGAATGACCTGGCCTGTGACACTGCCAAGAAATACGTCTGCGAGCGAAGTCCAGGTGGGAAGACTAATCTTGAATGCTACAAATTGATGAAAAAACAGACAATTATATCAGAATATTATGCATCTGCTCAGCTGCTAATAATAAGTCAAGTTTTAGACCTAATTTATGTAATTCACCCCCATTTACTGCTGCATGCCGTGTACTTAGAAATTGTACCATCAATCAATAAATAAATGTTATAATATTTCTGTCCCCAAAGAAACAATTATAGTGACTTAGTCTCCCGGTGTAATGTTCGTTTATAATGTTAAAATGCTCATTTATTATTCATGATCACGTTTATAGTAAATTATGATCGTGATTATGTGAATTTTTTAACCTATTAGTAAGTATTAAATTCGATTAGCACCCTTGGCACAGTGTATTTAAAAGAAATTGTACCACACACTCACTAACCAGGATTTGATTATTCTGCTGCTATTGTCCCAGTCACAGGGGTTGGCAGCAGTACATGTACCATCAACTGATAATTACCTTTGCCAAGAAGGTTATGTTTTCAGGAGCTTTCTTGTGTGTGTGTGTGTGTGTGTGTGTGTGTTAACACGATAACTTGAGAAGACTTCAATGGATTGTCTTTGTATTTGGTAGGTGGGTAGGTCTTGATGAGACCTCAAAATGATTAGATTTTGGGCCCCCTGGCAGCTTGTTGTGGTACTGTAGTGGAAATTCCAGTTTTGATATCTCAACATCTGGACAGGCTAGGGTCATCAAATTTTGTAGGTCTTGCACCAGTGAACACGTGACACGAGTTTGGCCCCCTAGCAGGTTGCTCAGGAACTGCAGGGGCATTGAAATTTACAAAATATTTTTTTTCCCACAGAAACTGTAGCGACCCAGACTCCCGTCACCCCCTGCACGATCCCCGGGTTCGTGTCGTGGCGTAACGGCTGCTACAGCCTGTTCCGGAGTCCCATGGAGACGTGGGACCAGGCGCGGGAGGGCTGCCGCTCCACGAGGTCCCGCCTCGCCAGCGTGGTGGACATCTACGAGGAGAACTTCCTCAAGGCTGCCGTCAAGGGGAAGGCCTGGATCGGCCTCTCAGATCAAGATGTGAGCTGCAGCTCTCATTTGCCTCTATTTGAGAAAAAATGCACAAAGTATACGTAGTAATATTAGAATTTTCCAACCTTGGTCATATTGCTGTGTCATTTTGTAATAAAATTTACTTTACTTGGATGGCTTTCTCCACCTTCTCTGTGGAGAGAACTGGTTCCCCAATGGTCTAATAATAGTACTTGACTGTACAAAATATGGTACAGAATGTATGACATCTGTCCTCAGGGTCTAAGCACTCTGCAGCCCTTGTCTTATTTGAATACTTACTAACAACCTTGTCAAAGAATTTCAATATAATATTGAAATTCTTTTTTCACCATTGCAATGCATGAGAGCCTTGGCACCCTATGTGCAGATGATAAATTTGAAAATCTGTTAAAAAAACCTGCTGGATGAAGGTTGAAAAAAATTATGCTTAGGCCACACCAATTTAATTTCTTGGTTAACGGATTTATCTAGAAAAATAATGGAGCGGGCAGGCAAAAAAATAAATAAAAATAAAAACAGGCCTATGCATCCTATTATGGCCCAAAATGGTACGATAGGAGCCATGAAGTCAAAGGTTCAATATTTAAACAAAATGAATTTCGAACTTTTAATGATACCACTCCATTGATAACAACTAGGAAGAAAAGGACTGTTTTCAACTGTTCAGGGCAAAATATGAGCATTTTGCAGCTGATTCTGAATTTTTTTTTTTTTTGCAAATCAGAAAAAAGCGGGCGAATCCGTTAACCAAGAAATTAAATTGGTGTGGCCTACAGAATAACTATCTGTAATGTTGTTGGTATGGTTACCGTTGTTTTCCCAGAGTCCTGGTGTGTACCGTTGGGATGACAGGTGGCCGGTCATGTACACCAGGTGGGGGGAGAACGAGCCCAGCAGGGGAGCCGGGGAGGGCTGTGTGGCACTGGAGTATGACGGGAGATGGGACGACATCAACTGTGAAACCAAGCTACCCTACCTCTGCAAAACCACATCCGGTACACTTTTTACATTATTCTCATATTTACGAGAATATTTTGATTATGCTTAAATCGGTAGAATATTATTGGGATATTGGGATTTCCTTTTTTCATAACCAGTAATCTCTCTTATCATGCTCACGCTTTGATGCCTGTCACCTTCCTCAGAACGTTTGACTGGAGATGATTATGCCTGATAAGATAATATTACATGTATGTAATAGCATGCATAATAATGAATAAGTGGTATAACTAGAAGTTATGAAGGAATTATGTCAAATAAAAGAACAGAAATTTCTAGTTGATGTATGGAAGTTAACTGTTGATCAGTGACATACTTGAATGTACATTTTGTACCTCGCAAAACATTTACACAATGCAGCTGTGTTTTGTTGAAATTTCTGTGAAGTCTCAGTACATGTACATGTTTGTGTATGTACATGTATGACTTTGAGGTCTTTTTGAAGTGCTGTATGTAATGTAAGAAACATTTTCTACCGGTAGCTCACTCAAAGTAGAACGCAGACGATGGCACAAATGTTTCATCATTGATACACCTGGAATGTCACACAGCCATCGAACGTACATCAAAGGCGTAAGATGAATGCATTAACTCGGTTCATATTTTCTTGAACAGACATCCCACCACCCACTCCTTACCCTGTTCCTGGCCACTGCCCTGACGTGTCCTGGTTCTCCATCGGGTCCAACTGTTTCTACATCGAGAAAGGAGAGGACCCAGCAAAACAGGTGTGTACAGAGGGATGGGCCAGATACGTAAAGCCGTTGTTGATCGGATTATAATCCTAGTATTTATATAACGTCTTCTGAGAACTCCAAATTTGATGAAAAAAGGTGGCAAAAAAGTTGCCTTCATTATGAAATCTACGTGGTACATGTGTGTGAAAATACTTATGCTGTGTTTTGTCAGGTTACCTGGTATGAGGCTGTGTTTGAGTGCCTGAACAGGGGAGGACAGTTGGCAAGTATACATGACGAGACAGAGGTTCGCGGATATGTCCACCGTCAGCCGAAGGCCAACGTCTGGATCGGGATGTACAAAGATAGATTCCGTAAGCCACACTGATTTATTCAAACATTTACTATGTATGTGGAAGGATTGACATAACTTTTATTTATTTATTTATTTATTGTTTATTTCAGGCTCAATGGCCCATAGCACAGACACACAACATTACACAAACACATCTAAAATAAAACATCTAAGTAGGTACAAATAGATAAAAAAGACTGTGACTATATCACCTATTTAACAATGTCAAACCTGAGACCAGACCGTAATATTTGAACCACTCATGTGGGGAAGGACCCCTGCTCTTTTTGTCATTAAGAAAATCGCTAAAAGTCTGTTGGTACTAAATTTTGGTACTTTTTTGCTCTTGTTTTCGATATGAATATCAAACTAACAGAGTCTTCTAGAATGAGACAAGACCGTAATGCTTGAACCACTCATGTCAGGAACGACTGGGGACCTGCTCTTTTCAACATTGAGAAAATTTGAGAAAAGTCTGTTGGTACTAAATTATGGTATATTTTTGCTCTTGACTTGTTTTCAATATGAATAAACTGTAACATAGAATACTACATTAATAGAGTTAGTGTAAACATAATTTTCTGTCTTGCAATGTATGTTCTACCATCTGCATTTTCATTGTCTTGAAATTGGATCCTTTTTTATTTGGCAATCATATAGAGTCATTTGTCTGGTACGATGGATCCCCCATTGGCTACACCAACTGGGCGAAGGACGAGCCCAACAACAATAACAACAACGACCCACAAGACACAACCATCGAGCCTGAGAACTGTGTGGAGATGTACAGGGACGGCAAGTGGAACGACAAGGAGTGCTATGCACAGAGGGGATACGTCTGCAAGACCCCTATAAGTAAGCGTCATAAGTTGTCGCTATTTTTTCTTTGGTCTCTATGTATAAGGCCACACCGACCTAATTTTATGGATGACATCCATGCGCTCATTGATTTTCGCCAGTTCTCAAAACAAAGATCACGTCCACCGAGGCTCTGGCCTGGCTCTATAGCCTGGGTAGTCCATGGTACTAGTAGTTAGCGACAATAGGGAGCCGGGCACCCAAGCTACCGAAGCTCCATGACTCAAGAACTCAGTACATACGTACAGTACCGATTCATGCATTCCGCAAAAAGCCAGCATGTGTCGTATACGTCGCTATGTACTGCCGCAAATTCACAATAGTAGCTTTCTATTGCTGTGGTTTAGTAGCATTTTTATTTTTGGCCGGAATTTTTTTTTATTTGCCCGCGCGCATTAGTTTGAGGGTCTTCAGAGGATGTCATCCATAAAATTAAGTCAGTGTGGCCTAAGTTGCAAGTTGAACACACATCTCACATGCATCCATCATGCAAAAGTGTTTTTCTTGATAGTTGATGTATCAAACATTAAAGCTTTACCAAAAACACTACTTAATAATCTGCTGATACCTATTGTTTAGCATAGCGATAAATGTGAATATGCTTAAGGCAACTTACTTACATCAGACTTAGACACTTAGACTCTCCTATGCCTTGTGGCACACCAGGCAAAAAGCTTTTTCTATCCACTTAGGACAGAAGGTCAAATGTCTCAAAATTTGGCCAGCAGCCAGCAGCAATTAGAAGTAGATTAGAGGGAATTCAGGAGGCCTAGGAGTGCATAACTTCCAGAATTCTGAATCTCTGATTTCTTGTATTCATCATGTGTAATAAACTGTAAATTTTGCCATTAGAATTATTGGGTCCAAACCTGCAATGAACCATTATTAGTATGCAAAACAAAATAGCTAGTTAAATCAAACTTTTTAGTTAGTTTATTTTGTATATTTTTAAACTTAGTATATTTTATTATGTGGCGTCTGTGTGGTGTAGTGGATAGAACATCCGACTGTCAAGCAAGGGGACCCAGGTTCAATCCCCAGGGACTGGACCCAGACATGTCCAAACTTGCACCCAGACGTTGTACCCTTGGGAAAAACACTTATTCCCCCCTCAGTTAGAGGGTTCCTGGGTCCTACTAGGGTTTGGGTTGGTGTTAGGAAGGGCATCCAGCCGTAAAATCTTGCTTCAACAAAAAGACTTGTACTTCGTGCAAGCACAACTAACCCCCAGTTCGGGGGGAAATGATGTTAAAAAAATCATGCCTAATCTTTATAACTAATTATTATCTACTACAGTCCCAGACGGGAACCCAGTCTTCCCCACATCAGGAACCACGTCTACAGCGAACACAGCGACCACCAGAACCCCGAGCACACAGAGCACCCAGCGGCCCCAGACCCGCACCCCCACCCCGGTCAGGCCTGTCACCGGGTCACAGCGTCCGCCTGTCGTCTACACCGGCAGCGGCAACGCCTCACCTCAGAAGCAAAATGGTAGGGAACATTTTGTTTATCATAAGCTTATTAAGTCCACACCAATTTGATTTGTTGGTTCACGACTTTTTTCAGAAAAAATATGAAGCAACAGGGCGAAAAAAGATAAAAAAATAAAAATAGGCCTTGGCATCCTATGATAGCCCCAAACGATACGATAGGCTGTTAATCCATTGTGTCGAGTGCACCGTTTTGGAAGGTGGAGCCGAACCCTCTCCTTCCACTGCCTTGAACCTCCCCAACTGAAGTCAGTTACCCATTTACATCTAATTGAAGAGAGGAAAGTCGTACAAAGGTGCCTTTTCCCCACACAAGGTCAGTGAAATGACAGGATTCAAACCGATCGCGAGAACCTCTGGGTACACCAGCTTAATGGTGGTGGGTCCAACTTCTAAGTCTGTGTGGCTTTTCTTTCTTACAGGTGAAGGTCTGGACACAAAAATGCCAACTTGCATGATCTAAAGATCTTTTGTTGGGAGTGATACTGATATGATCTGTATCTTTACTAGGCGTTAACACAATGTACACCAACGACATGTTAACAGGTCCAAATTGTAAGTCTGCACATGCCTTTTCTTTCTTACAGGTGGAGGTCTGGACACAAAAATGTCAAGTTACTTGTTATGCACGATCTAAAGATCTTTTGTCGGATATGATACTGATGTGATCTGTATCTTTACTAGGCGTTAACACAATGTACTTCATCGACATAGACAGGTCCAATTTCTAAGCCTGTATGCTTTTCTTTCTTACAGGTGGAGGTCTGGACACCGGATCCACTGTGGCAATCCTGCTGGCTGTTGTGGTCATCATTGCGTTGGTGATTGCCGTCGGTTGGTTTGTCCTTCGGAGGAGGGCGGGCTCCCCTCCCCTTCTGAAGAACATGGACAGTGGAGGAGCCGTGGGTTTCGACAACGCTCTCTACAGCTCCGGCACTGACGTAGTTACAATGTCAAACATTGGTGAATCTTCCTCGGCATAGAACACCAATTTAACGTAGTTCAAAATATCTTCAGATTTAGCAGAATAGTAAATCTGAAGATTTAGTAGAATAGTAAATCGGAAGATTTAGTTAAATAATAAACTTTCAGGCGTAGATTTAGCAGAATAGTAAATCTTCATATATAGTAAGAATAGTAAAAATTCAGATTTAGTAGAATAGTAAATTTTCAGATTTAGTAGATTAGTAAATCTTCAGATTTAGTAGATTAGTAAATCTTCAGATTTAGTAGATTAGTAAATCTTCAGATTTAGTAGAATTGTATATAAGTTCTACTAAATCTTCAGATTTACTATTCTACTGTTCTACTAAATCTTCAGATTTACTATTCTACTGTTCTACTAAATCTGAAGATTTACTATTCTACTGTTCTACTAAATCAGAAGATTTACTATTCTACTGTTCTACTAAATCTGAAGATTTACTATTCTACTACGTGTATATCTGCAGTTGAAAACGTCTTCAGATTTAGTAGAATAGTAAAGTTCTTTAATTTACAACCGCTTGTTTGTTTTTTTGTTTTATTAGATATCCATTAGATTAGATAACAAATCTAATCTATTTTTTCCTGAATTCATAAAACACAGATGTACACAAATACAAGTACACAAATGTAATACAAATTAAGGCACCACTTGACCGTCTGTCTTCTTCATCAGGGCTATACTGACAGGTTAGCTGTACACTGATGAAGCCGTGATGAAGATGACAGACGGTCATTAAAACGTCAACTCATGTTAAACAAGTGGTTAAGAATAAACTTTGACATTCAATAATTCACCAACCTTATCATCATAACGTTACTACTATTTGCAAATTTTGAAATTTAATTTGTAAATCAGTCTTCTTAAATTTGATGGCATTTGTACATTTATGGCCATTTATGAATATAAGTTGTTTTCCTGAAGGAAAATGTTGAAAAGCATTAAATCTTTCACATTGCTTAAAGTCAAGCTTGTTAATGTTAGAGAGAACTACAACTGTATATCAATGAAATTTTACTAAGTCAATTGAATTTAAAAAAAAACGTTGGGGAATGCATTAAAAAAAGAGATTAAATGCTAATCCCGTGCCTTATAACCTCCCCATAAATTCCCCCAACTGGAATCCAGTGTATACATTATATGTTGAATTTAAGCCCCCGTCACACATTCACAATCTTCCCCCGAATCTGTTCCCTAACACCAGATTTATGTCACACCTACCTCCATATATGAATCCAATTTGAGTTAAATGTGAGTCAAATTTGACTGATGAACGCGCTCTGAACACTGCTGACTTACTCCCAAACTAGCCGAACACCAGCCAACCATGGTCAGAACTCCCGTCCAACCCCCAGGAAGAAGCAATTGCCAAACAGTAGCCGCCCCCAGGCGAACACCGACTTTGCCCCAAATTTGGCCTAACCATGATTGGCGGACGTTCGGCTAGTCTTCTGAGGGGCATATCCATTAATGTGTGACCGGGGCTTTAAGCACACGGGGTGGAAATTAATCTTAACTGTACAAACCTATTTTGATCATAGTGCATGTTTTTATTGCAATTTTATGCTGCTTTAAACTTGCCCTGTTTTTATGTATTACCTGCTTCTAGAATTGATCTTTCAATCAGCTATATTGAAACTCTTTGTCAAGAAGATTATGTCGTAAGCAATATCTCTAAAAGTAAGTCAGCACCAAACACAAATTGGTAACAATTTATCCTTGATCTAACTACAGTGTGCTTCAGACGAAATTGTTTTTAGTCGGGTATAATTCAGAGCTTACTCTTAGTAGTTGTTGATAAAGTAAAATGAGCTCTGGTAGCTAGATTACGTACATTTAAGGAAGGTATCATTTGAAGACTATACAAGAACTTAATAGGATGCTGCTGTGAATTACTCCGCAATATGATTGAAATGTTATCATTTAAGTGTTAGCCACACATTTTCTTTCTATGAAAATAAAGGAATTTCTTTAAAATGAATGAATGAAGACCTTTATTGCACATTTCTGCCACACTTGGCTAAGTACAGGTCACAACAAAACAAGATGAATGGACACGGTTAACAGATGCAAAATTAACTGACTATCGTTATATAAATTCAACTTCTCGCTTTTCAGTTATTGCAGAAATAAACGTACAGATCTGTTTTTCGATGGGTGGTTTGTCTAGTCGCATAAGGAATATGATTTTTTCTACAGTACTTAAGTGCGTGAAATAGGCGAATAGGTGTTGTACAAACATATACAGTTCATTTCTCTCTTTGCTATACAATTCACATTCTGTTACAAAATGGCGTTCGTCTTCTATTTTGTTCAAGTTACAATATTTACATAATCTGTGTTCAAAATGTCCTTTGTTGTTGAGAAGAATAATTTTTGTTGCTAGTTTGATAAGTTTCATGATGACATGATGATAATGAAAGTACATGTAACTGTAATACGCTACGCTCTTTCAGCAAACCTGGGTGTTTGCCAATGGCATATCTGTTAACACTTACTGGGGCCTGGAATATTCGATTTTTATGGCGTCAAACTAGCATTACGGTGCACTCAAATCCGGTGCGTAATGATTGATTGTGGTAGATTTAAGTGCATCAAGCTAGACACTTCCAGCAAACGTCACACATTGAAATAGTCGACATTATCAGAACTTTACTGCAGCAGTTTCTCCCATATAAGGCCATGTTTATTTGATTGTATGGATGACATCCGCGCGCGCATGAATTTTCGGCCGTTTTCCAAACAAAAATACTGTAAATCGTAGAAAACATTTGCAAACTGAGCAAATATATACCGTAGATTTAAAAAAAAGACATTGGAAAAGCGATACCAATGTCGTAGAATGCCAAAAATGTAAAGAAATGAATTTGAAGACTAGATTTTCGCCAAACCATATACTCTGCGTGTCATTTGTTCAACCTTTAAAACCAGGTAGATGTCATAATGAAAGAAACTTTTTTGGGACCAAACTTTTCTTTATTCGCACGCTCGCATCAGTTTTGGGGTTCCCAGAGGATGTCATCCATATAATCAAATCAACATGGCCAAACAAACAGCGGCCTGGAGTATTCCATTTGCATGGCGCCAAATTAAGCAGTTTCTAACATTACGATGAACTCAAATTCAAACTATATATGTTCATTCATCAATCGCGAGGTCTTATTTAAACAGCAACATTACCAGAACATAGCAGTAATTTCAAGCTATGTAATCAGATAATCGTTATTTGCAAAATCATACCCGAAGGCTAATTACTTTCACAGTCAAAGACACTATTCGGTACAATACAATAATAGTAGACAGAAACTACTTTGGAAAAACTTCTACTACTACGCTAGCTGTTACTCAAGCAACTGGATATGATTTTGAAAACGTCAGACGTTTCAGCTGGTATCCACTAGCTTTCGTCAGTGACTGAGAGACCAGAGGGGAAAGCAGGTTTATAAGTACAACCTGTTGATTGATATGCAAATAAAGTGAAGACAAATTTTTGGAAGTCGAAAAAGGAACAAAAGACAAGTCAAGACAAAATGATGCAAATTAGTCTGACAGCTCCTGTTATACAGAACAGGAGCTTAAGTGTTGTCTGTCCTCGGGGCTGGGAGTGCCAAATCCCAAGTGCCGGAAAGATCGACTCGTAGCCCCCCTTCCCTGTTGAGGGTGGGGTTGTACATTCTTTCATATATTGCCTCTTTAACACCCCGTTCCCACCAGCGTGTTTCGCGGTCTAAGATATCCGTGGACTCGAGTTTGAAAGAGTGACCCTGGTTCTGTTGTAGGTGGTGGAAAATAGCTGAGGAGTAGCCGTTGGCACTAGGTCGGCAATGTTCTTTGTATCTTACTTTGAGCGACTTGTCTCTCCGATGTAGGTGTTGTTACAATTGGGCTCCTCACATTTGAGTCTGTAAATAACATTCGCCTTGGTACCTTTGTGAGGTCGGTCCTTAGGGTGTACCAGTCTTTGTCTGAGGGTTGAGTGAGGTTTGAAGTTAGTGGCTATGTTGAAGTTTTGGAAGATCCGTCGGAGTTTCTCAGATACTCGTTGGACATACGGAATAGTGATGTTGGCCTTGTTTTTGTTGGTCAATGGTTTGCACTTCTGGGTTTTCTTAGACTGATCTGAAGGTTTGACCGCTTTGTTGAAAGTCCAGTTTTGGTAGCCACATTTAGCCAGGGCACCTCGGAGGTGTCTATGTTCGTCCGTTTTGGCTTGGTCTGAAGTGATAATGTTGTCTGCACGATGGAAGAGAGTTTTGATCACTGCTAGTTTGTGTTCCAAAGGGTGGTGGGAATCAAAGGCCAGGTACTGATCAGTGTGGGTTGGTTTCCTGTACACTTCGAAACGAAGGTTACCATCTTCCTCTACGATAGTTTTGGTGTCTAGGAAAGGGAGCATGTTGCCATGACTTGGCTCCTGTGTGAACTTGATGTTGTCATCTATCTGGTTGATGTGGTCAAAGAAATCAGCAGCTACCCTCTTTTTCAATCTGCACCAAGTGTCATCTACATATCGAAACCAGTTGGCCGGGGGAGTGTCATTGAAAGTGCTGAGGGCTTTGTTTTCAAACTTCTCCATGTACAGGTTTACAACAATTGGTGAGACTGGTGATCCCATAGCACAGCCGTGCATTTGTGGTAGAACTGTCCTTTGTAGGTAAAGTATGTGCATCCTAAGCAGAGTTCTAGTAGCTCACAAACTTGGT